AGCATAACGTCTTGTTTGTTCTGTCCTATGTCACCTACTGGAACTTTGTCTCTGAGTCACTGCCCTGTCCCCAGAGTCTACAGCAGTGCCAGGCTTTGGAGCTGGAGAGTGGCTGCATGTGGAATGAATAGTACTGTTCCCTCTGGAGAAGGAGGGAGTTCACGGTACTGGGGTGGGCAGGGGAAAGTAGAGTCGTTCCCAAATGACCAGCTGCTTTTCTTCACTTGTAAAAACACCTGAGCTAGTTGACCCCAGGTCAGTATTTGTAGCTTCTGCATCTATATCAGTGTTTTTAGTGTTTTTGTGTTTCCCTAATGCCCGGCCCCCTTTCCTGCTGACACCCTCCCATCCAGCATGGAGCAACCCTGTCTCAGGGACTCTCTGGTCTAGAAATTCCTCTCCCCCAACGTGCTTTTGTCCCTCCTGGGGACAATGCACCCTGCGTGGGGGGAAGTGAGGGTACAGCTCCTGTCTCAGCTCCTCTCCTGGGAGAGGTTCAGCATCTGGGCTCTGGAAGGATCTTGGGAGCTGGAACTTGAGCACCCAGGCCAAGTGGGAGGGAATGATAACACTGGTCTAGGAGTCGGGGGCCAGGGCTCCACCACCCGCCCCCTGTGTGACCTTGGCCAGGTCACATCCCTCCCTGTGAAAGGAGAGACTGTTCTTCCCAGACTTGTGCAGCTGGCATTTGTGATGAACACTCCTGGGTTATTACTGAGATGAGTGTGACCTTTTAGAGAAATAACAACAGGTGCCACTAGAGAGCGCTGTTGGCTCAGTTGTGCACCTATGTATGACTGCAAGTGCAAAAGTGTGAGTAAACTGTGTGTGTTGTGGTGCATGTGTGAGAGTGAGTGTGAGTGTGTCAGGGCATTGTATAAGGACATTTGGGGTATGTTGACCAGGAGTGCAGCTGGGAAACCTCTGTGTAGCTCGTGGTAGACAGTCAAGTGAGGGTGGTGGCATCTCTGTGCAGGTGATGCTCCTGCACAATTCTGAGTCTTAGGGTGCAGGTCACAGGGCTGGAGCCTAGGCTAGGGATGGGCCCCCTCAAGGCCAAGGGCATGTGGACACTGTCAGGAGAGTGTCCAGACTTGGACACTCTGGTGTTTGAATCTGGAGGCTGGGCTCCCAGTGTGACCATGTGGCCGGGACAAATCCTTTGTCCCCTGTGGGACTCCTTTTCTCCATTGTAACCTACACCCACTCTCTATTGTCCTTTCCAGGTTCCCCAGTGACCCCCAAGCCTTCCTCCGGCTTCCGGGGGAGCCAGGACCCCTGACGGGCCTGACTCCCAGGCTCTGAGACCAGGCTCGGGGGTGGGGGCACCAGGCTCTGCTATTGGAGGTGCTGGGGCTGGAGGTCTCCTGTCCAAACCCCCCCACGTCAGGGGCAGCTGTGCTGGAAGGTCAGACTGGGGTCTCTGTCCCCAGAACCTGAGAGGCCATGTTATCTGGGACAGAGGGGACAAATCCCCTCCCCAGGCCCTAACTATGGGAACCACCACCGGGCCCCTCGTGCCCTCCCACGACCCACACGGCAGACCCCACAGGCCCCCGGCACAGCCTGCTGACCCTGGGCCACGTTCCGAGCCCCTCGCTCCCAGCACTCGCACCCTCGCAGCCCCCAGAACAGCGGGAGGACTCGTTCACAGCGCTGAGCCCTCTCCCCCCGCGGGGGCTCAGTGCTGCCAGGCAGACACAGCAGCTGTGGTGTGGGGGGTCCGAGGCCTCCACGTGGAAGGGGGATTGGGCCTGGTTCAGGTCACTGGTGGGGGGAACTCTGAGGAGCTGGGGAGGGGCTTTGGAGCCCCTCTCTGCCTCTGCCTCAGAGCAGAGCCGGGGTTGGGGTGGGACAGGTGGGAGAGCAGTTTCCCAGGCTCCTCTCTGTCCACACCTGTGCTGCTCCTTCCTTAGGGCCCAGGGGGCCCTCCCAGGCCCTGAGGAATGTGTGGTGCACGTTCCTCTTTCTGGAAGGCCTGGGAGTTCATCTGTACCCAACTTCCAATGCCTCAGACAGGCGTGATCATTGATTCCTGTGGGGAGGCTTCAGGGAAGGTCTACCCGAAGTCTGTGGTAGAACGCAGGGATAGAAGCCGGGGCACTGGCTGTGCCCCGTGTGAGACAGTGTTGTCCCGAGGGACCCAGGATGGGCAGCCTGAGTGTTGTTGAAGCCACAGGTTCAAGGGTGCTGCGTGCCCAGGTGACCCACAGCTGCATGGAGTACCTCTCAGGGCAGAAGAACACTCTCCTTCCATCTGCCTGTTGTCTACCTATCATTTATCATCCACCTATCTAAGTATCATCAATGTGAAATTCAAGGTCACGTCTGGAAGGACACATACCACATACACCCAGCATGGATCTGCAGGCTGTGCTGAAAACTTCTTTTTTTTTTTTTTTTAAACTTCTTTATACTTTTTTTTCTGTTTTATTATTTTTTAAAGGAAGTTTATCAGTCTCTAAATGGCTCAAACTGCAAATAAACCAATCAGGTAAGTGACATCAGCGGAAGACACGTGATGCATCTACGTCAGTTTGCTTCACAGCCTTCCAGGACCCAGGAGAAGAAAGGTCTCAAAGCAAAGTGACAACATTAGAGGTGGACCCCTGGCCAGACGAGACTGCAGTGAGTTCACGTGGAGATGCCAAGCACCAGTGCGGCGCTGGTGCTTTACTTCTGCACGTGGCACAGCCTGCAAAGTTACGAAATGAAAGATGCACATTTCATTTAGGGACATACATTCAATCTGTCACACTGGATGTACTATCTAAAGAGTAGAGTTTTTTCAAGAGCCTATTTTTGTTGACTTTACATACACATCTATAAAGATGGAATGCCTGAACACATCTTTGACTTATTGAAATTAGGACTGAACAAAAAAAAAGGGAGAAACTCTGTGAATCCATTGTCGTAGCTGTGTTCCAAAGAAGAAAAGAAAAACCTGACAGTGGTGTTGTAGACTTCCCACCGAGAGTATTCCTCCAGGGGGCGCACCACACAACGGTGACGCAGGCTTAAGTGTCTGGTCCACAACAATCTAACACGTTTTCTGCACAGTATCCAGGTTTGGTTGCTTGATGCTAACTTTAGGGAAATGTAACTACACTGTTCTTGATTAGGAACACAGACCACAAACACTCCTAGTAAATCCCATATAGCCAAACTATAACCTCATGAGTATGAATTTAACAGAGTGCAAGCATAAATATTTTCCCAAAATGCATCGGCACTGTGTTTTTCCTATGCCTGCTCCAAAGAGATCGAAAACTTAACACATACTTACCAGTTGCAGAAGGGTTTCCAGAGACCAGCATCTTACACTGAAACATAACTGGCGCTGAGTCTTCAATGTAAAATTACCTTGTAAGTATATGCCGGCCCTTCACCTTAAACTGTTATATAGTTAGTCGAAAGCAATCAGGAGTTCTGGAATTTTACTTTGAAGAACCAGAGTATGTCCCAGTTGGGTGGCTCAGTTGGTTGGAGCCTTTTCCCCTTACACCAGAAGGCTGTGGGTTCAGTCCCTAGTCAGGGCACACGCCTGGGTTCCGAGTTCGATCCCAGTCAGAGCATAGGGACAACCAATCAATGTTTCTCTCTCACTCGATGTGTTTCTTTCTCTCTCTCTCTAGTCAGTGAACATGTTCTCGGGAGGATCAAGAACTAAAAAATAAAAATAAAAGAGAACCAGAGTACGGTACACATTTTATATTTGGACAGCCTCCTAATAGCTATTTCTCAAGAATCTTCTACACAGAAGCTGTATTCCACCCTAGACAAATGTCGCCAGGATGCGCTGGGCAATGGGCCGTGGTGCCAGTGAGGACACACCCAGAATGATGTACCTGAATATTTTTCAGTTACTAAATTAAGGCATATTCAAAAATTTCCATTTACAAGTTTCACTGCTTTTCTGAGCCAGTCACCAGCTAATGAATGCAGGTTCACAGATGTTTTGCTCTCCATTTAACTATGCAACCATTATACCAATAACTTTTCTTCCATATTTTGCATGATAATCATTTTAAAAGCGAGTAGAGTTTAACTATTAGGTTCACAGTTGTCACTTTCAAGGCAGTAGAAGACCAAGACATTTAAAATTATATAAAATTTAAGCTTTATAGTAAACCAGAAGAAGTAGCCTTTCCTGCCATTCCCCACCCCCAGCTCACTTCCATAACAGTTTAAGACTGCTCTTGAAACACAAGCTCCTATGTTACATTTGTGACAGTGATAAATCTAGGCCAGGACGTAATTTCAACTCCTTACTCCTTAACAGTTAAGTAGTTACATTTATACAATCCTAAAATTATTTCGGTCCTTTGAAGGCAACTGTGAGGCTGATATGGCTCAGGTGAAAATGACTTTGACACCCCTGGTCTAGGCCGTTATGAAGAAGGTCAACTTTGCTTCTTGATGAAGCCTCATTAATTTCTTTTTAAAGTGAATTTGAAATTTGAGCCCTGGCTGGTGTAGCTCTGTGGATTGAGCGCCGGCCTGCAAACCAGAGGATTACCCGTTTGATTCCCAGTCGGGGCACATGCCTGGGTTGCAGGCCAGTTCCCAGCAGGGGATGCATGAGAGGCAACTATACATTGATATTCTCTCCCTCTCTCCTTCCCTTCCCCTCTAAAGACAAATAGATAAATAAAATCTTAAAAATAAATAAAATAAAGTGAGTTGGAGTCCTGGCTGGGTGGTTGGAGTGTTGACCCAAACCCAAAAGTTTTTGGGTTGATCCCCGGTCAGTTGTCCGGTTGCCTCACCAGAGACAGCCAGTGAATGTGTGTCTCTCTCTCCCTTCCTCTCTCTAAAAAACAAACAAAAAAACAATCAAGATAGCCTCAGGTGAGGACTGAAAAAGTGAATTTGAGTTTCAGTGCAGATTCAATTCATGCTTTCTGCGATACATAACAATTTTCAAAATAAAATAATTTCAATTGATTGAGCCTTCAGAGGTGACACTTGTCAATTATATTTATTAGTATGGTCAAGATAAGAAAGTAGTTTGGGCTTTGATTATTAAATGAGGAATCTTTCTAGCATTTTCTTGACTAAACTTTTTTTCTCCTTTTTCCCTTTCTTTTCTCTGCTGTCTTCCATCTTTCTGGCTCGAATTTCCCTCATCAAATCAAAAAATATCTTGTCGACGTTAGTACGCGTTTCTGCAGATGCTTCAACGTAATTAACATTCCACTGTTTGGCTCTGGCTTTCGCTTCCTGCACAGAAACCTGCCTCTCACTTTCTAAATCTGATCTGTTACCAACCAACAGAAATGGAACGTTCTCATCTTCTTTAACTCTTAGAATCAGCTCCCTGAGGTCAGCGGTGGCTGCAAAGGATTGCATTTCTGTAACAGAGAAGACGCAGAGGAAACCGTCCCGGGCCCGTATGTAGCCGTCTTTAATCGCCGCGTAGTCCTCCTGCCCCACTGGATCCACGATATCGATCTGCACTTCCTCCCCATCCAGCACCACGTTCTTCCGATAGCTCAGGGCTCGCGTGGGCTCAAAGTCCTGCACCGACTCCCCGTACAGGAACCGGAGAGTCAGCGCGGTCCGGTTCCCACCGCTGCTGCCCGCCACCAAGACTTTGTGTAGGGCCACGGGTTTCTTCTGACGTTTGGACTTGTTTGGGGCCATCTTGAACCACAGAGTTTTCACCGAAGGCTCCGCAACCCGGCCCGCCGCTGCGCAGACTCCGGAAGCCGCCGCCACTGCACGGGCTCCGGCCGCAGAGAGTTTGGTCCTCGTCCCGGGCGCGGACGCGGACGCGCGCGGAGCGGGGGCGGGCCCTGGGCGGGAGGAGGCGGGAGACTCGGGGCGTCCCGCTCGTAGAAGTTCTTTCTATTTTATTTAAAAAGAGTCTTTGTATATCTTCTCATAATCAGGAAAAAAAAACTTAAGCTGTCTCCATCTTCGAAAACCAAGCGAAGGGAAACAAGGCGTGGCACACGCACAGGGCGTTGGAGAGACCGGCACCCCGCGCTCCAGGCGGTGCTGCCGGACCCGCTCCCGGAGGGACGACTCGCCGAGCGTGGCCCGCAGCCCAGCGCAGAGCAGGGTGGGTTCCTCCCCCGCGCGAACGGGTGTCCAAGACGCAGCCTAACAACCTGTGTGACGTTCACACGCAGATGGAGCTGGGGCGTGGGGGGCTTAGGGGCGCGCACAGAGGAGGTAAAACTGTAAGGAAAAGTGGACAACTCGGGATCTCCAGGTCCTGACCACGATCTGATTGGTTTTGTGACTACTTTTTAAAAATGACTTTACAAATGCATTTTTATGATTATAATGTATCATTAAAACAGAAATACATTAAAATATTAGCAGTGGCTCTTCTGGGTGAATATGAGGGGTGAATTTTCCCCCGTTGTTTTTCTGTACTTTCCACATTATTTAGAGTGAGCTGTTATTATTTTAGACAGAAGACCAAGATGAATAAACTATTTAAAAGGAACTCAGAAAACAAGTAAGGTGATTCTCCTTCACACCGAGCATGTCCATAGAGCTTATTTACACCCTATTGCCTCCACCTGGGCCTGGAGTTGGGGGGCCCTGAAGGCACCTCAAACCTTTCTACCAGGACAGCGCAGGAACATCTGTACCTGGCCTAGATCTTTCCTTCCTGGATTAGCCCTTTCAGGTCCTTTAACTAACTCCAAACTACTGAATACAGCACCAAGAGTGAACCCTAACACAAACCATGACACAAACCATGAACTTCAGGAGACAATGACACACCGGTGTGCTGTTTGCCAACTGTAACAAACGCACCTTTCTTGGGGGAGACTGATAATGGGGAGGCCGTGCGTGTGTTTGGCAGGAGGCGTATGGGAACTCTTCGTGTTCCTCTCAACGTTGCTGCAAACCCAAACTGCTCGAAAAACGAAAAAAATAAGTGTTTAAAAAAATCAGCTGAGCCCTGGCTGGGTGACTCAGTTGGAGCATCGTCCTGCACAGCAGAAGGTGGTGAGTTCAGTCCCCAGTCAGGGCACATACCTAGATTGCTGGTTTGATCCCCGGTTGGGACGTGTACAGTGTCTGTCTGTATATCTGTCTGTCTTTCTTCCTTCCTCACTAAAATCAATAAAAATATATCCTTGAGTGAGGATTAAAAAAGTCAATTGACTATAAATCTATGCTTTTTTTCCCCTGGAACCTCAAGTCTATTGTGTTGATCCCTAGCTGACCCTATGCCAGTAACTACTCTGTTTTGGTTATTGTAGCTTTTAGAAGGTTTTGAAACTGAGAATGTGAGTCCTCCAAATTTGTTCTTTTTTCCCCAAAGATTTTATTTACTTATCTTTAGAGGGGAAGGAGAGGGGGAGAGAAACATCAATGTATGGCTGCCTCTAGTGCATCCCCTGCTGGGAACTGGCCTGCAGGGAACTGGCCTGCAACCCAGGCATGTGACCTGACTGGGAATCGAACTGCAATCCTCTGGTTCGCAGACCTGCGCTCAATCCACTGAGCTACACCAGCCAGGCAAATTTGTTCTTTTTCCAGATTTTTGGGGCTATTCAGGGGCCTCTTGCATTTCCATATAAAATTTAGGATCAGCATGGACACTGGGCAGAAACAGGCCCCTTTTGGGTCCAGCCAGTTCATGACCTTACATAGAGAAGCAAGAACAGCCAAGGGGCCAGCTCCCCCCAGCTTTGACAGCAACAGCACAACAAAGGGGCAGGTGACAGGACACCCCGTGGCTGAGGAGCCTGGTCCCTGCTGCGCCTGTGTCCTAGGGGCTGAGGCACAGAGCCCTGCTCTTCATCCTAACCAGTGGCACCGAGAAGCTGCCACCTGGCAGCCTCCCAGGGATGCCACAGACAGGAGCGAGGGGGAAGCGCCCAGAGCATCTCAGACGTCCGACTCCCAGACCTGTGAGAGCATAAAGAAAGGTGTGTTGTTTTGAGCGGCTTAGTTTTTCCCGCGATGTGTTAACATTAGGTGCAGGAAACTGACAAAGGAGCCAAGGGAGAGACTCTCCCAGGACCTCAGCGTGGTCCTGCCACAGCTCCCACCTGCGCTGACATGTGCCTGACCCGCTGCCACTGCACCAACCCCCTTCCACACCCCCAGAGTGTGGTAGAGAAAGCCTGAGCCCAGGGACCCAGCATGAGGGCCGGAATGACACCCTGCATTCTCAGAGAGACACTGGGAACCTCACAGACTCACAAAGTCACCACAGGGGGCCTGGTTCAGATGGATCTGGTTTCCGATCATTAATGCCCGGAGGAAGATGGTAGGTCCTTTCCGGGCCACATACCCGAGCGTATCCCACCTCCCTTTGCTTGGATGTGGCCGAGCTGGGCCATGAGTCGGGAAGCAGCCCAGGTGTCCCAGGATACCCAAGGGGGTTCCAGCAGGGGCGGAGTGTCCTTAGATGTGTGATGGGTGCAGGATGGTGTGATTGCGTGGGTCCACCTTGGGTCCAGGGGGAAAGGTTACCTGGCTAGGCCACCCTGAGGCAAATCAGAGGACTTTTACTATGTAACACCCCCTCCCCCAGTGGTGGTGACCTGGTGGTGAAGAAAACAGTGACGTAGAGGGCCCCCTGTGCAGTGGCAACTGTAGCCAGCTCATGGTCATTGCCACGTCTGCAGGGTGCAGGGCAAGTCATGTGTGTGTGTCAGAGCCCGATTCCCGTCAATGCTGACAACTTAGGGAAAACTCATGCTCACTTTTCATTGTGATGCAAGATGCCTGAGACACCAATTTCCCTCCAGCAAGCCTCTGTTTAATCTCAGAGACATTATGAGGCTCCTATTTCCCTCCTGGCATTGGTTCCTGGGGAGCTCGGAGCTTGTCTGCGTCAGAGTTTATCTTCGCCTCCCAGCAGGTGTTTTGTGTGACAGGTCCCTTCCTGTCTTCCTCCTAGTCCTCTCACACCTCTGAACCTGACTTTGGGGGAGGAATTGAGGTAGACCCCAGACTGAAGAGCTTTTAAAACTGATCCTGCTGCAGCGTCCTGGACCCCGTGGGTGGTCCAGCCTGAGGGAGTGACAGGAAATTCTGGGGGCAAGGGCCTGGAGCAGAGGGGTTCCCGACCAGGGCAGGGAAAGAGGGATTATCTGGAGGTCACTGGCCACGGCCAGCTCCGACCAGGAAGGATGGACACACTGGGCTGGAGGAGGAACTGGTGGAAGGAGAGGGCAGAGGGACTGAATGGTGACTAGACTCCTTATGTCCTGGCCACTTTCCTGGGAGGTGCCCCAGGAAACCTTCCTGCTGGGCACCAGGGATTCTCCCACCTCACCCTGGGACCCAGGAGAGGTCACAAATAAAATAGGAGGCGAGAAAAAAAATGAGCAGAGAGCATAATTTCTGATCAACGATGAAAACATTTTTGAGAGTTGCTTGGGTGCAGGGAGCAGGGCTAGAGATGTCTATGGTGGGAGGGAAGACCCTCCCAGAGGTCCTCAGGCTCCAACCCCTGAGGGCAGGCGGCTCAGTGTCCTAGGAACACTCTGAGGGGACCACTGTCTTGTCCACGGTGCTGCCTTCATGTGTCACGTGGCAGCTGAACTGGCTGGCAGACTTCCACTTGCTGGCTGACATGCTCAGGTAGCTGCTGGCCACATACTTGTTGTTGCTCTGTTTGGAGGGCTTGGTGGTCTCCACACCCTGGGACACAGGGCTGCCATTCTCCTTCCAGGCCACTGTCACGGCTCCGGGGTAGAAGTCACTGAGCAGACACACCAGTGTGGCCTTGTTGGTGCTAAGCTCCTCAGAGGAGGGTGGGAACAGAGTGACCGAGGGTGCGGACTTGGGCTGACCTGTGGGTGTGAGACACAGAGGGAGACCCTCAGTGGTGGCAGCCCCCACAAATCTATAGCTTGTGGCTGGTCCCACGGTGTCCACGTTTGTTCACCCGAGGAGCCCTCCTTCCTCCTTCGCCTCTTCCTTTCCACTCACCCACCAGGCAGCAGACGGCCCCCACCCCCCAGGAGCCCTTCCACATCACCTCTCCCAGGTAACCTGGTCTAGCCCACCTGCAGCCTCAGTTTCCCCGAGTGGAACCAGGGCAGGCTGTTCCTTCTCCTGTTCTCCAGAGTGTGAGCGTGCAGTCTGGCCCCGACCCCCCGGGCCTTCAGCCCAGCGCCAGGCCCCCACCTCTCTTTGTTCTCCTGGAGCCCAGGGCCTCCGGTATAATCTGGGCCTGACTGTGTGCAGAGGCTCCGAGCCCACACCTAGCACACAGTGGGGCCTAGAGCCCCTGTTGCCCTTGGGCGCCCGCTTTGCCTCAGCCCGGCCTCAGCTCTCCAAGGGAAAGCTGGGGCCAAGGCCTGGGGCCCCTCACGGCTCTGCCTGCCTCCCTCTCTGTCCCTCGCACCCTGATCCCAGGACCCTTCCCCTCGGCTGCATTTTTGATTCTGCTCCTCCAGACGATGGACACAGTGGCCCCACACCCACCCAGCACCTCTGATGATGCCTGACTTCATGGGGCAGCTGTGCAGCTCTGAGCCACCCGTCATTCACTCCCCCTTTGTCATCCGAGTCTAATGACCATTTGAAGAAGGTGAGTGGCTGACCCTTGGACAGGGGTTGTGGGGCTCCAGGGACAGATGAGTCTCTGCCACGAAGGACTTGCTCCTTTCTGGCCACCTCTCCCTGTCACACCTGCGTCTTTGCATCCCCATGTCCTCATGGCCCAGCAGAGGCCCTGAGAGCTTCAGCTGAGAGTAAGCAGAACCCCACTCTCCATGGGCCTCCTCTCTGGCTGACCCTGTGTCTCTGGAGGTTGGGGTCACAGATCCAGCCTGTCCTCAGCCTCCTGTATGGCTCTCCCGCTTAGATGAGCACCGAGCCCTCAGCCAGACCCCAGGGGCTCTGGACTGTCCAAGGCGGGGGACAGTCAGAACCAGCCTCTGGTCCCCTGGTGGGCATCTGTCCTGGAAGAGAGGAAGGAGCCCCGTTCCTGGGCCGACCCCCCACCCCCGCCTAGACCCCTGGGATTCAGCTGCATCAAAACGTCAAGCTCTGGACGTGGCTGCTCCTGCCATTGGGTCCTTCCTGCTAGTTACCCCAAGACCAACTCACCTCTCCAGGCCCCACAGAGAAAGTGGGGGTTGGTAAGGCTGGAGGGCAGAGGGGAGCAGCCCACAGAGAGAGGAGAGTGACTTTCCCGGGACAGCAGTGGGTGGGATACAGTGGAACAGGTGGTGAGGCCACTTACCTAGGACGATCAGCTCAGTCCCATTGCTGAAGATGAACCACGGTGACTGAGATTCGGACCAAAACCCATGCCAGCACCTAGGGCCTGCCTCCTGGGGGCCAGTCTTGAGCAGAAACCTGCTGGGCATGACAGGTGGGGGGGCTGTAGCAGGCAGGACTGTGTCCTGGGGTGGGGTGAGTGGGCAGCCAGGTGCCAGGCATACCTGGGCAAACTCATAGCCAGAGGTGTCACTGTGTCTGACCCCCTTTCCAAGGCAAGCATCGCCCATGCTTTGGAGTCACCTGATGTGTGACCCTTGAGGCTGTCCTGGTCACCATTGGACCCCCGGTGTTGATGAAGACCCTGAATACTTCGTCCCCTATCATGGCCGTGTGCTGTGGTGGAACGAGTCCCGAACTAGCTTGGATCCGCCTGACCTCTCCTGGCCTCATTCTAGAGCCGCTGAGAGTTTCTTCCCTGCAATTTCCCACTGTGCAGCCAGGCGGGCTGCCTCCCTGGGTCCACGGACACTGGGACATTCCTGTCTCGTAGGGGAGGTCCCCTCCCCCTTTGTCTCCACACATCAAGACACACTTTAATTCTCTCTGTGAAGCCTTCCCTGATCTCTTAGACCACTGTCTTTCTGTCCATCCATCCATTCATCCCCTTGCTGCATTCACCCATCCATCCCTCCGTCCATCCATTTAACCTCAGCTCCCAAGCAAGTGTCTGGCAGTTTCAGGTGCTGAGACATGGCAGGGCCCTGGCTCTCATCTCCATCTCTGGCCAGAACCTCTCAGTGAAGGCCAACAAGACCCTGTTTGCTGGCCAGCGCAAGCTTCCCTCCCCAGTCCCTGTCGCTCCTTAGGTTTTTGCCGGGCGCAGCGCAGAGGGGCTCTTCCTTCCAGTGACTTTCTTCCCCTTGGCATCTGAGACCTCCCACGCTCTTCCTCTCCTGAATTCCCTTTCTCTACAGCCCACACAAGGCGGCTGAGCCTTTCTTTGCCATCTTCTCATACTGAGGATTCCCACCACTGCCCATGGGGTGAAGCTCAAGTCTATCCCGGCTCTAACCAAGCCTTCTCCTTGGCTCAGCCTCAGTTGCCCAGCGACCATCTGCAGCTGGATGGCCAACAGGAATCTCAAACTCGCCGCATCCAAGTGAGACTGGCCACCATTCTCCCAACCCAGTTCTTTTTCTGTCTTCATCTTGTCACACACAAGCAATCCTGAGAGCTTTCATCCCCGCTCACCCCAGGCACATAGATGGATGGAATAGAATTAAGTGACAAGAAGAGACCCTCACATCTATTAGCAATTGATTTTCTGACAAAGGGGCTGAGGCGGTTCAGAGGGGGCGATGGTAGTCTCTTTAACAAATGGCGCTGGGACACCTGGATGTCCACATACAAAAGTTGGACCTCAGCCTCCCACTATATACAAAATTAGCTCAAAATCGATCAAAGACCTAAATGTAAGAGCTAAAACTGGAAAACTATTAGAAGAAAACTCTTAGGAGATCGGTGTAAATCTTTATGACCTTAGGTTAGGCGACTGATTCTTCGATGTGATACTAAAATTACAAGCAGTACAAGAAAAATTAGGTACATCGGGCTTCATCAAAATTCAAAACTTTTGTGTATCAAAGGGCACTATCAAGAAAGCGAAAAGCCAGCTCATGGAATGGAAGAGATTATTTGCAAATCATGTATCTGATAAGGGTCTAGTCTCCAGAATGTATAAAGAAAGCTTACAACTCAAGAACAAAAAAGAGCCCTGGCTGGTGTAGCTCAGTGGATTGAGTGCAGGCCTGCGAACCACACGATCGATTCCCAGTCAGGGCACATGTCTGGGTTGCAGGCCGGTCCCCTGCAGGCCAGTTCCCAGCAGGGGACGCACGAAAGGCAACCAAACATTGATGTTTCTCTCCCTCTCTCCTTCCCTTCCCCTCTAAAGAAATAAAAAATAAAATAAAATAATTCATTTTTAAAAAAAAGAACAAAAAAGATAATAACCCAATTAAAAAATGGACAAATGACTTGAACAGGCACTTCTCCAAAGAAGACATGAAATGACCAACAAGCACATGAAAATTTGTTCAACATATTTTCCCGTCATTAGTGTGAAATGCAAACCAAAATCGGGATGAGGTCCCAACTTCCCAGCCAGTAGGGTGGCTACAATGTAAAGAAAAAAGCAAAATATAAAGCTCGTTGGGAATGAGGTGGAGAATTGCAACCTTTGTGCATTACTGGTGGGATTGTAAAATGGTGCAGCTGCTGTGCAAAAACAGTTCAGTCATCCTCAAAATATTAAACTTAGAGTTACCATATGGCCCAGAAAATTCACGGTTAGGCATACGGAAAGTAATTGAAAATAGGGATTCAGACAAAAACTTGTACATGAATGTTGATAGCAGTACCCTCACAGTAACCCAAAGGGGGAGCCCTAGAGCCCATGAACTGTGAGTGCAGAAACCAAATGTGGCCCATCCACACAACAGGACATTATCTACCTTGAAAAGAACGCAGTACTGACTCGTGCTGCAGCATGAATGAACCTGGAAACATGACGCTACGTTAAATAAGCCAGGCACCGAAGGCTGCGTATTGTGGATCCACGTACATGAAATGTCCAGAGTAGGCAAACCCACAGAGACAGAAAGCGGATTCCACCGTTGCCAGGAGCTGAGAGAGGGGGAAAGAAAGAGTCCCTGGTTTGGGGTGTCCTTTTGGGGTGATTAATATGTCTGGGAACTAGATAGGGGGATGGTCGTACAACACTGGGAATGCACTAAATGCCACTGAATCATATGCTTTAAAATGGTTACTATGGCGAATCTTATGTTAAATGAATTTTATCTCAATTTCTTAAAGAACTAAGTGCTGGCGAGGATGCAGAGAAAGCAGAACACATTGCTCAAGGGAACATACAGCCACTCCGGAAACCTGTCTGGTTGTTTCTTACATACACACGTTTGCCCTGTGCTCAGTCAGATCCTACTCCTGGGTATTTGTCCAAGTGAATAAAAACTTATGTGCACCCCCCCCCCATGAATATAAATGTTTACACCAGCTTTATCCATCGCTGGAAAAACTGGAAACAACCCAACTATGCCTCAGCTGGTGAGTGGCTCAACAAACTGTGACCTTCATAAATGAGCTCACACTCAGCCATAAAGAGAAAGAAGCTATTGATAAATGGGATAATTTGAATGAACCATGAAGGCGTTATACTAAACTAAAGAAGCCAGACTCAAAAGTTCCTACTTGGAATAGGAAAAAGGAACAAACTACGTTACACCAGCAGTCATGCTGAGTGAGAAAAGCGAGTCCCAAACGGTACACACGGCATGATCCATTTATAGAACGCTCTTGAGTGACAAAATCAGAAACAAAGACCAAACTGGTAACTGCCAGAGGATCAGGAGGGGTTGGGAGGGAGGGAAGAGAGCGTGGCTATGAAAAAAGAAGTTTTCCCTCCCTTCCCTTCTCTCTAAGAATAAATAAATAAAATCTTTATGTCATTATAGTCATCAAAAAAATTAATATCAAGCCCTGACTGGTGTGGCTAAGTAGAATGAGTGCCAGCCTGCAAACCAAAGGGTCACCAGTTCGATTCCCAGTTGGGGCACATGCCTGGGTTGTGGGCCACGTTCCCAGTGGGGGGCGTGAAAGAGGCAACTGATAAAAGTTTTTCTAGCACATCAACAGTTCTCTCCCTCTCCCTTCCTTCCCCCTCTCTAAAAATAATTTTTTAATCTTTAAAAAGTTAGTGTTGAATGACTTTAATAATATTCCCTATCATAAGTGTACCATAGTTGATTTTACCTTCCCTTGTCATTGGACATTTGTATTGTCTCCACTTCTTCCCACAAACACAGGTACAATATTTGATTGAAGTTCTGATTATTTCCTCAAGATAAATTTCCAAAAGTGGAACCACGTGATTAAAAGGAATGCACATTTTTATGAATCTCGATACAAGGCGCTATTTGTTCTGGAAATTCGATCTGCCTGACGGTCCACGAGAGGCCCATTCGTTCCCAGTCAGCCCTCAGGTGGTCACTTTATACTCACCCAAATCATAGGGTATCTTGCTGCCTGGTCACCGCAGAGAGAACTCCCGCTTGCTGCTCCTCTACTTCAGCCTCAAAAAGTCCAGAGCCATTTTCCAAGACACGAATTTGACTCTGAGAGTCCCTGGACAGGGGACACACTACCCCCAACCCCAACCCCGCCTCCTTCCCTGGGTCCCCTCCACATCCCTCCCTCCAACTCCCAGCCTCCTCTGCATCTGCGCACCTCACTCTCCTCTTGGCTGATGCTGCTGTCTTTGCCTGGAGCATCCTGGCCTCTGTGAGACCAGCTTGGGCACGCCCCCTTCCACTTTACTGCTCCTAAAGCGTCCATGCGTCTGTCCCCACAACTGGACATGAGCCCCCTGGTTCAGGCTGACCCCCCTCTGCATCCTGCATCCTGAGTGGCCCCTCAATGAGTGGACAGCCTTGGGGGAGACCAACGCTTTGCAGACCACCCCTCCTCTTGGACCGTTTTGTTGAAATACAGGACACGTGGGTACAGTCACAGTGTTCTTTTAACTATCAGAAAAGACGGGAGCGTCCTGACTCTTCCCCTCCAGGTCCTCCTGCCTTCTGAATCTATCCACCTGTCCACGTACCTGTCTACTCTGTCTGGGTCACTGCCACCTCCTCCCAAGGTCTCTAGTTCTGGATTCCCATCCCCTCCCACCCACCCAAGTCTGGTCAGGTCATTTTCTTGCAAATATTTCCCTAGTACTCTCCAAACAAAGTCGGTTCTCCAAGTATGGATTCTCCAGGTCTGGGCCTGGCCACCTGCCCAGCCCCCCTCAGACCCCCTTGGTCCCAGGACCCACCGGCTTCAGCCCTGTGGGCCACCAGCAGCTTTCTGAGGTGGGTTGCTCTGCCTGTAACCCCTCCTCAGAGGGGCCTCCTCCGCCCTTCCCTCTGTGTGCCTCTGTCCCACAGGCCTCAGACTGCACGTGGTTGTCGCTTGTCAACCACAGGTTGTCACCTGTCCCCCTCTCTGCGCAGACCTTGAGTTGGGGCCAAATCTTGGTCTAGGATCAAGACCCACGGGATCACATGGGATCGCAGCCTCAGCGTAAGGCCAGACCCTAATGGAGGCTCCACCTCTCCTCATGCTTTCCCAGGCCCCGCCCTTGTCCAGCAGTCCCTGCAGGACACCAAGATGCCAGTTCTGACCTGGTGCCCACAAGTGCTCACCCACCTCCCTGCTGGGCAGCTGGTGAGCAGAGGATTACCATAAGTGGTCCCAGGTGCTCAGCACTTTGTCCAGGGACTTCCCACAGCACTCAGAGAGGAGGGGCTGGGGTCGCACATGACAGAGGGACAGGCCATGGCCCCTGAAAACCCTTGTCCAGAGCCTTGCCCACGGAGACGTCTATATCTTGGGTGGACCCAGACTTCTGGGGGGCCAGTCCCAGGAGGTAGCCCCCTGAGGACCCTTGGCTCAGGGTCTGGTGACCTGAGGACACCAGGAAGGAACCCCCACCAGTATTCATCAGCAGAAGAGCCTGTGCCCTTGGGCTCCAGAGAGTGATGGCCACTCAGCTCGGGGAAGAGTGAGGACGTGGCTCTTCAGCTAAGAGAGGGAGGCCCGGGCACCCTGGGGCAATAGCACCGGCCACCCATGGGGACCTCCTGGCCCTGCCTGTGTTTCTGCCCCACCTGGAGGACCAGGGCAAAGCACTAGTGTTGGGTGCAAAATAGAAGGGGTGCCAAAAAGTCAGGAACTAAGGTGCATGATATTTTAATACAATATTAAAGAGTGAGAATAAGTGCAAGCAGACCCACACTGGACGAAATGCCGATTCCTTAAATAAAGCCAGAGTCTGCCCAGGGCCCTGCCCTCTGGCAGACTCTCCCTTCTCATCCCTCTGCCCTCACTGCCACTCCCTGTCCCCCACTCCCAGTTATGGCTGCAGGGACCCTCCCATCACCCATATGACTCGCTCAGCCCCTTACCTTTCCCACAGGCTCCAAGGGCTGCTGCTTCTTCTTGGAGTTCCAGAGCCTGGAGCCTCGCTCCGAGGCGCTGCCGTAGAGAGCAGCAGGCCGTGGGAGGCCACGGCCAGGCCCAGCAGCAGCAGTGGCAGCCAGCACTGCCTCAGGCCGGCGCTCTGCCCCCTGCGGGCCTCCTGGCCCCCCTGTCCTGTCGTGGGCCTCATCTGCCCTCAGAGTTAAAAGCACCTCTGGCTGACTTGCTGGTGTAAGCTTACAGGGTGGAGTTAGGTCAGCAGGTGCCCCTGGTCCCTCTTACTAGCAGTGACTGTCCCAGTGCACCCAAGCTATGGCCCTGCCACCTGCCTGGGCCTTCTCTGGTCCCTGCCCCCTGTGCCCCACCCACTCCAGGGCCATGGTCCTTGTCCTGGGGGTCTCTCCCAGCGGGGCATCTGCCAACTGCCATGCTGTGGTCCGGATCCAGGGTTTGGCTGGTCTCCACCACAGCTGCCAGCCCGGCCCTGCCCCTGGGGCCCCGTGTGGGGCGCACCTGCTCCCGCCAAGCGTCCAGTGGGCCAAGAGTCACCTGAGTTCAGTGATGTGGGGCGAGGCCTCTCTTCCGGCCAGACCTGGGGCTGCAGTGGTGGCGGGGGAGGAAACAGGTGTTTGTTTGCCAAAAGGCCAGTGTTCAAAGCCATGGAATTGTGATAAAATTATAAAAACAGTGCTCAGTGTGCCATGTCCGGCCCCTGGTGGGTCTCCCCCCACTCTGTCTCTCTCACACACACACACACACACACACACCCTCACACCCTCACACCCTCACACCCCCTCACATTCTCACTGATTATACCTAGCAGTCACCATCACAAGCCCAGTGTCTGGTGCACAGCAGTGGCTTCCACGAGGCCCCTGTCACCTCAGGGCCCCTGTGCTGTGGTGCGGGGTGGGCAGGGCCAGTGAGGAGGGACTGAGTGATCCGTCGGGTGGCGAGGGCCTGGCTTTGCACTGGTGCCTCTGGTGACTCTCTGGTCGCCTCTGACTTTCCAGGCTCCCTTCCCTCCCCCTGGTGTGGGGCTGGGAGCACTCGCTGCCTGCGCCGCTCACTCCCAGCTCCCTGGTGCGGTTGAAGTTGGGAGATAAAGGATGTGAAAGTGTTTTTTTAGTTTTTTGGGTGTTTTTAGCTTTCTTTAGTTAAAAAAATTGTGGTATATTATGCATAACATAAAATTTACCATCTTCGTTATTTTCAATTGTCAGCTCAGGGATATTAAGTAGTTTGCGTTGCTGTGTGACCACCGCCACCGTCCGCCTCCAGAACGTCGTCATCTTCCACAGCTGGAACTCTGCCCCATTAAACAGCAGCGCCCACCCCCTCCTTCCCGCCCCAGCCCCTCGCTCCACAACCTGGGGTCCACTTTCTCCACAAATTTGACTGCTCTGGGAAGCTCACATAGAGGAATCACATAATATTTGTCCTTTGAAAATACTTTTTAACCTGGGAAGTGCCCCACGCAGAACACATGGAAGATAACAGTTGTTATCACATTTATTACTGCCACTGCCACCAGCAGCAGCTGGCCTATCAGGTGTGGCCTGGGAAAAATCAGTAGCCATTAAGAAATAATTGAATCCCTGATGATATTTTAACTCCCACTTTTCAAACACTGAGTTGCAACTCACACAGGGTTGTGAAATCCATTCAGTCGGTTGCAACCAGCCTTTGGCAACAGGCAAGTAGTGTAGGCAGACTGGAGAGCGGGGAGGGACAGTGGTGGATCACAAGGTCTGCTTCACTTATCCGAATAAGCAGACGTGCTCAGGACAATGATGGGAGGTGTATTTCTTACTGGGAGTGTTGATCAGAACAACTTTTGGAAAATACCTTGGGACACAGTGGTCCAGGTGTGCATGAGAGACAAAGCTCATGGCCAAACCCACCCTTGAACTTTACAGTCGGATCACCTGGAGCTGATGTTTGACACTACCTTTTGCTTTTTTTTTTTTAAAGATATTATTCATTTATCTTTAGAGGGGAAGGGAAGGAGAGAGGGAGAGAAACATCAATACATGGTTGCCTCTCGTGTGTCCCTTGCTGGGAACTGGCCTGCAACCCAGGCATGTGCCCTGACTGGGAATTGAACCTCAAACCCTTAGTTCGCAGGCCTGCGCTCAATCCACTGAGCTACACCAGCCAGGGCTACCCTTTGCATTTATATCCTCCGTGTCCCAGTTCACGCAGGCCCAGTGTGTCCTGGGCAGTGCCATCCCAATGGCTCATCCATCTCTGTGAGGCTCTTCCCAGGGTCCCCCAGAGTGAATTTCATGGATGCCACATGCCCTAGTAGAGTTGGGCCTCCCAGACATCCTGTTGGCATCTATCTAACCAAGGTCATGGGGTTCGATAACAGACTAGCTTCTGAATATCGCAGAATATGTAGGAGCCCCTGGGATGCCCCTAATCCAGTCCAGCTTCTCCCTCTTGAGGTGCTTAGCCCATTCCTGCCTCTGACCCGGGCTCCTGGAAACTGGGGGCCTGGGGCAGAGTCCATCACAGGGTTCCAAGCTGAAGCTGCTCCAACCCAGAACCCCTGTGTGACATTGACCCAATGCCCGGGGCCTAGAAGCAGTGGTTCCTCTGGGGCAGCCCCCAGTCCTGGAGAGGAGAAGGTGATGTCTCTAAACGCAGCGACCCCAGCTGCTTCCACCACCTTGGCCCCTACACCTGCCTCAGCCTCTCGGCAACGGCTGCTGTAGACCACATCCTCCCGTGGTGGCCACAGTCAGAAATCAGCTCTGACTGGACCCTGGGGACCCTGGAGAGATGGGCTGGGCCTTCCCAGGAGGTGCAGCTGCAGCTCTGGCCCTCCCGGGCCTGCTTCCTGTAACGCCCACACTGACACGTGCCGGGGCTGGATTCCGGCCAGGTCAGAAAGGTCCTTGTCGGGCTGTCCCTGGCTCCTCTGTGCCTTGCCCTGGCTCTTCTCTCCTGGAGCAGAAGAGTATATTCCTGTCCAGTCACTTCTGCCCTATTCCGGGTGGAAGGACACCCTCACCTCTGTCTCCTGCTGGTCAGTCCCCTTCCCACTCTCCATCCCACAGGCTTCAGAGTCTCTGCCTCCAACCACCACGGACTTTCTCTCCTGGGCCGTCTCCACAACAGGCCTGTGAACCACCTTCACAAGGTTCCAGGTGCAAATTTTCTAGAAAATTCCAGGATCGTGGGGACCTGCCGTATGGCTCCTGAGCCCTCTCTGGGGTAGTTCCTGCAATTGTGGAAGGTCTGTAACATTCTGCAAGGCCTGGAGGTCTCCTCTGACACAAGGGTGGTGGTGGAGCTGCGGCTGCTGCTCACCTGAGGCCAGTGTGACGGTTAATTTTACACGTCAGCTTGGCTGGCCACAGTGCCAAGATACTTGATCAAACATTATTCTGGATGCTTCTGTGAGGGTGTTTTTTGATGATATTAGCATTTCAGTTGGTGGATTAGCATTAAGTCAACGCTTTGAGTAAAGCAGATCAGTCTTCCGAATGTGGGTGGGCCTTATCCAATCAGTGGAGAGCCTGAATAGAGTCAAGACTGACCACTCCCACACTGCAAGGAATTCAGCAAGCAGACGAACTCAGACTGCCACTTCCGAGTCTCCACCCTGCAGATATTGGACCTGCACCTCTACGTCATGCGAGTCGGTTCCTTAAAGTACATTTCTCTCTCCCTGCGTCCCCGTTCACGCACACACGTAATGTTGGTTCAGTTTCTCCAGAGAGCCCGGAGTCACCCAGCCAGCGATGCCATCTTTATACTGCAAATACTCCACGGAGTGGCCACGATGATCCTAATTTCGCACTGGGGGACACCGAAGTTTAGGGGCTTCTTTAGGTGTAGTGACTCTCCCGTGGTCATAGCGCTGGGAAGGCATAGAAGCCTCTAGATCCAAGGACGTGGAGTGTTTTATGGGCTGCAGGTATCTTTGTGAATGTAACAGAAACCACGGGATTTGTCCCTGTAAAATTGCTCACTGTCCCACTCACATACAATGTTGCCCCGATTCATGGGCCCCACAGTTGAGAATACTCGCCTTAGACTTGGGACTCAGAGAGTGGAGGGCGCTTCTCTGATTGCTGTTGTCCCTGAGCCTGATGCATGGTGGCTGCTCAGTACGGCTTCAGAGAAGGTGTAGGAACAGAGACCCAGACTTACATCCCAGGCCTGCCTGCCTGCTAGCTTCTTCCTTCCCTCTGTGTCAGTGGCCTCAGCATGAAAAGCTTACAGGCTTCAGAGCTCCCTGGGCTGAAGGTGGCCGTGTCCATTATTAGGGGTCTCCAGTCCAGGTCCCTGAGTCTCCTGTTCTAAGGTAAAAAGAACCCCAGGGCACCAGCTCGCCATGACATCGCCTACCCCTGATACGGGCCTTGAGGTCTCCCACCTAAGTAACAATAGAACTTCCCTTTCTATGGCTGCCTCCCCTGCTAATGGGAGGACCCTTCGAGGCCCAGCGCCCAGGCGTGATCAGAGAAGCATGTCTTCTGCCTTGTCTTCATTGGGACCAGAAACAGGGCCGGGGCCACACACTTTGCACCGCTGATTCAGTGCACGGCCCTGTCTCCACCCAGCTGTCCTAGTCTGTGTTCCCAGCTATTTTCCAGCTGGCGCTGTGCCCAGGCCCATGGAATCTGCTACTAGGGCCCCATGGCTGCTATGGAGAGAAAACACGGGAGCAAATGGGGCCAAGTGCATGTTACCAGGGCTTGGGAAGGACCAGGAGAGCATTCTTTCTTTCTTTTTTAAAAAATATTTTATTTATTAATTTTAGACAGAGGGGAAGGGAGGGGAAAAGAGAAGGAGAGAAACATTAATGTGTGGTTCCTCTTGCGCACCCTCTACTGGGGACCTGACCTGGCCTGCAACCCAGGCATGTGCCCTGACTGGGAATCAAACCAGCAACCCTTTGATTTGTTTGCAGGCCAGTGCTCAATCCACTGAGCTACACCAGCTGGGCCCTTTCTTTCTTTCTTTCTTTCTTTCTTTCTTTCTTTCTTTCTTTCTTTCTTTCTTTCTTTCTTTCTTTCTTTCTTCCTTTCTTCCTTCCTTCCTTCCTTCCTTCCTTCCTTCCTTCCTTCCTTCCTTCCTTCCTTTCTTCTTTCTAACTGTATTTTTTGCATTACCATTTAACCCCTGTATACTCCCCTCCCCACCAGTCACCCTTTCAAGCCAACCAACAACTTCCCAAGCTTTCACTGGCTGGTGCTGGATCCTCCCCCAGCCAATCCATTTTCAAGCTCTTCCGGGGTTCTGTGTCCTTTGTCCGACATGATCCTTTTCCCAGGCAGACAGGTCTTCATGGTCCCCATCGTAGTTCCTACTGTGCTTGTGCTTGTCGTAGAAGCACCTCCCCCTGCACCATTATGGCCTCTGCTGGGAGTGTGCCCAGCGGAGGAATTTCTCCTTTATCGTCCTATCCTCCCCTCAGTAATCTGCAGGGAAGGAACTGGTGGGTCCCTGGGGAGTGTATGAAGCTATAGCTTCCTAGTGAAGCAGGTCCAATATTAGATTCAGCTTTCCAATTTATTCGACTTGATGTCTGATTCCTTTTGCTCCCATCTCTTGTTAATATCTGGCTACCTGTGCTAACAATGGTTTGCCTGGTGCCTCTCTGTTTATAGTGTGGCCCACCACCCAGAGGCTTAGGGTGCTGAGCTGTGGGCCAGGGTTGCAGGAACCCACCTGTTCCCTCTTCACCCAACATGCTAATTGGTGAGGCCACACCCCTCCTGCTTCCAGGTCTTTCCATGGGTTCAGAGGTTTAGTATCCCTGGAACCACTAGGCAGGAAGACTTGAGGGTGACCTTGATCACCTCACCAAGCATGGCTTGGTTGAAACCCGGAGGCAGGAACTGAGGTGTTTCTCTGGAGCAGAGGTTGAAAAACTGGCCCAAGTGCCATATCTGGTACAGCCCCATCTGTTTCTATGAATGAAGTTGAATAGGAATGGCTGTGCCCATTCGTTTACATATCATCTGTGACTGCTTTCATAAGGACAGAATTCAGTAGTTGAGATAATGATCATATGGCCCAAAAAGCCAAAATTACGTATTCTCTGGCCCTTTACAGAAAATTTAATTGCCAGGTCCACTCTTCTCCTGCATGGAAGAGTAAACACATTTCTCTCACCTAGACCAGTGTCCTCAGTTAGGGTGATTTTGCCATCCTGGGGACATCTAGCACCACCTGGAGACATTTTCATTGTCATAACCAGGGGTGGAAAGTTACAGGCATTGGCATTTAGTGGGTAGAGGCCAGGGATGCTGTTCAACATCCTACAGTACACAGGACAGCCCTTGCCCCAAAAGACCCATCTGGCTCCAAATACCTGCTTTAGACCAATCACCCAGCTTCCGCTCTCTGCCCTAGAGCCTCAGTAAAGGCATTTCTAAGCTGCTTACTATGTAACTCCTGCAAATAACCAGGTGACAGCAGAGGGTCCTGTTCCTGGCCAGAGCATCTCTCTAGGGTGCTTATGTCAGCCCCCTGCCCTGATAATCCACAAGAGCGAGGCTCCAGCCAAGCAGAACAGGACTGATCAGTTTATTGGGACCTTGGCCTTAGGTTGGTTCTTGGGTGTGCCCTACCCATTTTGACCTCACACAGAATGGCTAGGGCCTTCTTGGTATAATTCAACACATCAGTCAGCCAAGCAACTTCCCAGGACACAAGCAACTTTAATCCCCCATCCAACCTCCAACAAGGCCTTGCTGAACAGGAGCACCTCCTTCACTCTGCACAGCCCACACAACCCACCCTCCCCCTCGCCCTCTCTGTGGAGATGCGCCCTTTCTGTCTTCAGTTCACGGTATGTGCATCCTGGGGTGCCTGGGACACCAAAGCAGGAGGCTCCTGTTCTTTCTCCCTCTCCATCTCCATCTTTTCCCTGTCCATGTTCCGGGCCCCCACAGCACAGAAATATACAGCCTCGTCTTCAGGCTGCAGCTCAGAGATGCTCAAATACCCTGTGTTCTTGGTCCCATCTTTCGATCCTGAGAAGCGTGGGGGAACCTTGGGGCCCCATTTCTTCTCCGAATCAGAGAAATAGCTCAGCAAGAATCTTGGAGGGTGGCCGGGCCTCTGCTGGTACCAGTGGATGGGGTATAAGTTGACATCGTGGTCGCTGCTCAAGGTGCAGGCCAAATGGATTGTGGTGCCAAGGGATGAGGTCACAGAAGGTGGCTGATCCAGCACTGGCTGAGGACCACCACCTGGGGACACAGAGAACATGGACAGCTGGGGCAGGGCAGGCCAAGGGGAGAGGCCAGCGGCTGCAAGCTCTGGGGCATTCTTACCTGAGCACTGAGCAAGGAGCACCAACAGCAGGCCAGGAACCCTGGACATGGTGCAGACGTGCGGGGCTCTGCCTCTCGAATTGTGCAGCCACAGCTCCTGGGGCTCTCTGGGGTCTGGACGGCATCCTCCTCTTCCTCCCTCCCAGGGGTGGAGCCATTGTACACCCAGTTCCAGCCACCACCATCCCAAGCTTCCTTGGGTTCCCAGCATCAGTGAGGGGCTCTTGCCTTGGCCCCACAGAAGCGTTTGGGGAGGAAACACCTGCTGGAAGCTCACCACCCAGTGCCCAGGAGGCCAGCCTGCAAGCGTGGGTCCCCCAGGGAGAGTGACCTCAATGTCCCCTTGAGGAAACCGGGTCCCACATAAATAAGATTCTTCTCCAAACATACATGACTGGTGAACCGGGAAGATGGGACACATCCTGAGAGTGGGGAAACACCTGCTTGCACAGCAGGACACGTGGGGCTCTGGAGGCGAGTGGGACACTCTGCGCCCTTCCACACGGCCAGCACTCCGGACCTCCACAACTGGAGCAGCCCCTCCCCCTCGAGGTGTCCTGCACAGGCCCTGCCCCTCCCGCTTGACCACTCCTCTTCATGAGGGTCTTCCCAGGGAGCTGTCGTGGCAGAGATCTGGGGCCACTCTTGGCCAGACCCTGTGCCTGCAGAAGTTCTGTTTGTCCCATCCCAGCCCCACCCTGCCTGGGTCTGAGCCCATCAGCAAGCACTTCCAGGTGGCCCAGGGCCTGCTCCCTGCTCGGTGCTGCCCACGCTCAGGTGGAGACTCCTACATTGTCCAGGCCTCCAGAGAAGCAGAACCAATAGGAGATATACATGCACACTACATATATGATGTGTTATTTACTATATATCACATACTATTATATACTACATAACATGTATCATAATACATCACATTATATAAAATATGATTATAATATAATACAAATATAATCATTATAATTATATATTATATACCTCTATGTATTATATTATATTAACATGCAATATATTATATATTATTATATAAATAGAATACATGATGTATAGTAATATATAATTTTACAATATATTACTATATACTATATTATATATTATATACTATATTATATATTATATACTATATTACAATGTAATGTAATATATAATATACAATGATATAGTATGATATGTAATGCACTGTATAATATATACTATAATATATAATATAGTGATACATTCTATAATGTAGATATAGAAGGAGATATATTATGTATGTATATAAAATGAGACACTGGCTCCCATGGGATCACAGGGCCCAAGGAGCCCCCGGACCGGAAGGCTGCAGCCTGCAGGCCTGGGAAGCTGGCCGTGTACTTCCGTCTGAGCCTGAAGGCTGGGGAACATAGGAGCCTGCATTGTAAATCCCCCTCCAAGGGCTGGAGATGAGTTGGATGTCCCAGCTCAGCAGGCAGACCAAGGGTAAAAAGACAAGGATTCTTCCTTCCCTCCCCTTTCTGCTCTTTTCAGGCCTTGCTGGATTCTGACAAAGTCCCCCTGTCGAGGAGGGCCATCTGCTTTACCAAGTCCGCTGGTTCAAACGCTAATCTCACCCAGACACACCCTCACAGACATGCCCAGAGGTAACATTTAATCTGAGCACCCTCGGACCCAGTTAATGCAATTAACCATCATTCTCCATTATCACGGCCTTCTTCATCACGTTCTAGAACTTTCTCATTAAAGCACAGCCACACGAGGAAGCCCAGGGAGTCAAGTGGGCGCTCAGTTTTCAGGAGACTCCAAAGCAAGACCTCTCTGTAGGTGGAGGTAAAAAAAAAAAAAGAGCGGTCACTTTAGGACGGGACATCTGAGCTGCTGTGTCTACTCATGAGGCATAAACAGAACCAGCCACTGAGATGAGACCATGCCTTCAACTGTAGACGAGATCCACACCTTCAGTAATTTCTAGGACAGAGGGTGGGGAAACCCTTGACTGAGACTCAGTCTCCACATGGGGCTGGCAGACTGGCAACTGGCTTCCTCTGGTGTCTTTGCTGAAGGTCCTTTGGGTCACCAACAGGAGGGACACAATGAGCTCCCAGCCCAAGTGAAGGAAATCCTCTTCCAGGGCAGAAAGTAGAGAAGAAGGGAGTGCCTGCCAGCCATGTGCCCATCTATACCCACAGTCACAGAGAAGATGTCTTCCATCTGAGAGCAAGACTCCCAGGTGATGCTGGGACCATTGCCACTGCAGGCTAGACCTTGTCCCAGCTCCTAGGTAGTGGCTGACACTTCACCTGAGCTGTGAAGTGACCAGTTTGAAGCCATCCTCAGTATCATAGATGGGGTGCTGTGTAGGGAGCAAGAGTGTTGTATAACAAACAGCCTGGAGGGTGTAGCTCAGTGGATTGAATGCAGGTCAATCCAAGACCTGGCTGGTCTTCATCCTGGTTGCTGGGAGGGTACCTCTAGGACCTTGGGATTTCCAGAGTGATGGGAGTGTCTTTATTATTCATCTCAATAGAGGTAGACAAAGCATTTTGTATCATTTAGCACCCAATGTATATAGTAAGAGATGTCACTTCTCCCCAAATTCACCTACAACAGATTCAATGCAATGCATATTTTCATCTCAGAGAAATGCATATGCATTTCAATGCAATGCATATTTTCTGGCTTCTTTGCAGAAATTAACAAACCGATCCTAAAATTCTTAGGTAAATCTGAGGAACTCAGAATAGCCAAAACAGCTTTGAAAAAATAAATTTAAAAAAGGACAAAGCTGGAGCCCTGGCTGGTGTAGCTCAGGGGATTGAATGCAGGTCTGTGAAGCAAAGGGTCACCGGTTTGATTCCCAGTCGGGGCACATGCCTGGGTTGCAGGCCAGGTCCCCAGTGGGGGACACATGAAAGGCAACCACACACTGATGTTTCTCTTCCTCTCTTTCTCCCTCCCTTCCCCTCTCTCTAAAAATAAATAAATAAAATCTTTACCAAAAAAAAAAAAAAGGGAAGATCTTAAAAAAAAAAAAAAGCTGGAAAACTCACTTCCAAGCCTCAAAGTTTACTACAAAGCTAGGTAATCAGACCTGACTGGTGCGCCAGTGGGGCTCAGTTGATTGGGCTTTTGTCTTTTGTCCTCCTGCAAAGCAAAAAGTCACTGGTTCAATTCCTGGTAGAGGTTAGGTTCCTGGTTGGGATACATACAGGAGGCAACCAACCAATATTTCTCTCCTTTCCCCTCTCTCTAAAAATAAATAAAAATTTTTTTTTAAAAAGCTAAGAGTAATCAGCCCTGGCTGAGTGGCTCAGTTGGTTAGAGCATCATGCCCATACACCAAATGGTTGGGGGTTCGATCCCCAGTCAGGGTGTGTATGGGAGCCCTCAATGTTTCTCTCTATCTCTCCTCTCTCTCTAAAATCAAGAAAACATATCCTTGGGTGAGGATTAAAATAGAAGAAGAAAGTTAGAGTAAGCAAGACAGTATGGCAAAAGATAGACATTTGGATCGGTGAATAAAATCAAATTAAGACTGCAGAAATAAATTCTCCCATTCATGATCAGTTGATTTTCAACAAAGTTGCCAAGACAATTCAATGGGGGAAAGAATACCATGAAAATGCATTTCTGGAATGAACCCAACCTGATGGTGACACGTTGTCCTGGTGACAGCTCTGCTGGATTTGGTTTGCCGAAGTTTCGGACTTGGTATATATGTTCATTAGGTGATACAGCTAATCAGTACAGCTGCATTAATTGCCCACCATGATGGGCGGAGGGGATAAGTAGGGGGATTCGGCAATGGTCTGGGGACTGGACAGATGGTGGCATCCCCATACATGTGACCTGAGAAGACTGGGGGGCTGCAGGAGGTGTATTTTGTACAAGTGCAATGACAGAAATATAAATGTTTAGCTATGAGGAAAAGCCTGCACCTGATAAGTATTTGGAAATCCTCACCACACCTGAGGTCTTGTAAACTGTTTCTGCCTTCCTGGGCTCTTCGGCTGTATTTGCTTTGACTTTTTTCCTGCTAATTTCTTCTCCCTCGTTCCTCAGCACAGCCACATCAGGGGCACAGCATCAGCGGATCGCCTCAGTGCCTACTTCTTCTTCATACCTCCCAAACCTGTGTCTTGGGGTCTTGCAGGTCCCCAGAGACTCCAACCCTCCATTTCCCAAATCCTGGAAGCTGGGGTCCTCTCTGCACACTAACACCCCCACAACATGGTCTGAGAAGGGGAATCCCCCTATTCCACCCCTGCCACCCCCACCCTGGAAGACATAGCTTTGGTCACGGGGAGCTTTGAGCGTTCAGGGAGCCAGGAGTTGGTGGTTCAGCTGCCAAACCCTCCGTATCTCTCAGGGACATGCGCACAGCGCCCCCTGCTGCTTCTGAGATGTTATAGAAGCTGCCCAAGGACTCCAGCCTTACTCAGCCTGAATCCGCACACATAGACACACATACCGCACTGGGCAAACTCTTCTGTCCAGAATTTGAGAGGCAGTACTTACTGGATGGGCAACAACAGTGCCTTCTCGGGTGTTGGAACTGTTCCTTGTCTTGATCTGACTAATGATAACATGGGTGTTGGCATATAAATGGAATCGTCAAGTATGTGTTTGTGATCATTGAACTTTACTAAGTTTTCCATCAGCTTCCCCCTCCCCTCCACGGGATTGTGCTTGAGAAATGAAGGAAATACTTACATTTTTGGTTTAGTGTTTTGATCATATTGGGGAGCTTTAGTTGAGAATCACTCTTGTATACGATTTGAAGGGGGAAGCTGCTAAAAAAAAAACTAGGGAAAGAAGGGTACACTTTTGGTTGTAGAGAAGTCTGAGTTTCGTGAGGGAGCCTGCTGCCTAAGGAAATCTCTTTCCTCATTTCTGGGGAGCACAGGCAAACTGAAAACACAATGAGGAGAGTAATGGACAGCAGCAGAAGCCAGAAGAACGTGAGGGAGGAGCTGAAGCTTCTTTTGCACACCATTCATTGAAAATACTTTTCTTTGCCCTGTTGAATTGACTTGGTGCCTTTGTCAAAAATCGATTGACATTATACAGGCTCTGGCACAAATAACACCCCTTTCAACTACAAGCCTTTTTTTAAAAAATATTTCATTTGTTTATTTTTTGAGAAAGGGGAAGGAGAAAGAGTGGGAGAGAAACATCAGTGTGTGCTTGCCTCTCATGTGTCCCATACTGGGGACCTTGCCTGCAACCCAGGCATATGCCCTGACTGGGAATCAAACCAGCGACCCTTTGCTTCACAAGCCTGTGCTCAATCCACTGAGCCAACCAGCCAGGGCCAATTACAAACTTTTTATAACAAAATAATAAGCATGTAATTCTGTAACATAAGAATATCACACTCAAGCATATCATATGACATTTTAGGTGAAATGTTCAAATTAAAACTATACATTATCACACCCATGTTATTACCCTACCAACCACACTCAAGCAAGCCTTATTTCTGCTGGACCCTGTATATGCCTGTGCGTGACTGAAAGTTCTATTATGTTTTTTTGATCTCTGTCTCTCTCCTTATGCCAGCACCACACTGTTTAACAACTGCATTATAGGAAGGGTTGAGATCAGGTCGTGTAAGTCTTCCAACTTTGTTCTTCTCTTTTAAATGTACAGAATAAATAGAGAGGCAAAACAGATCTGAGATAAAATTACACGTTTAGAAGCTGGGTGAATATAATCTCACACATACTAAAAACAGAGAATAGCACAAAGTCAAGCACAAATAGTACAGAGTCAAGAAAAATTTCCTGCAATTAGAAAAACATTTTTTAACATATACTTGGAGGGAAGCTGTGAACCTGAGAAAATTGATCACAATAACCAACACCAAGGTGTAGTCTAGTAAAATTACGGAAATTCAAAGGAAAAGAAATATACTATGGGCATCCGGGCAAAAAAACAAATCACTTACAAGGCAAAGAATATCAGATTATCAGACTTTTTGAGAGCAATGCTTTATATCAGAAGAAAATGGACTGCTTCTTGGCCTTTTGGCTAAGATCATGTGTAGAAGAAAATGGAATGACACATTTAAGATATTCAAGGGAAGAATTTGTGAACCAAGGATTTTGGGTCCAGCCAAAATGATTTCCAAGTACAAAGGCCACAGATGAACTGATATCGATGCACCATAGTCAGCCATGAAGCAGGGAGCTGGCACAAAGAGCATGTGAGTACAAGAAAGACAAAAATGCCAGAATTGGTTCATAAACCATCTTGCTAACAGAGTAAAATTTAACCAGTAGAAAATGTGTCATCAGTTTAGGGAGGAACTGGGAGGTATGTATCCAACTCCTCCTTGACCCTGGAGCTCTGAACCATGCAGGTTTGACTGTGGTGTCATACGAGTGACAGCAATAACTAGCCTTGTCTCATCGGAAGCCCAGCTATGGTCAGAAAGGCTGTGTCGCCCAACTTGAAGCCAGGCCAAGTTAAAGGGGACCAAGTCAGGACCCCCGAGAACTGACTATTGTTCTTGTAGATGAGCACCTGAAGGACCTGGCAGATGCCTGTACCAGTCTGGGCACAGGCTCTGATGCTGCTACTACTTCCGGTGTACCGGAAGTAGTACACCCTACTTCCGGTGTAGGGTATGGGGACAGCGTCTTCCAGGGACCTAACACTGAGGCAGCCGAGGCAGCCGGGTCCTGGAGCCTGGGAAGATAAAAAGAATGAGAAGCAGTGAGAGGCTCTGTAGCAGTGGTTGAGAACTTGGCTTCTGGAACCAACCGGCCTAATTTTGAAACCTGGCTCTGCCATTTACATCTGTATGGCCTGTTTCCTTGTGTGTCAAATAAGGATAATGATGATGAAGATGATAATGATGATGATAATAATAATATCTAATTCCTAGTATTGTCATGAGAATTAAATGTATTAATAATAGAAAAGTGCCTAGGCCCTGACAGGTAGCTCATGTGGTTAGAGCATAATCTCAATATGCTAAGGTTGCGGGTTCAATGCCTAATCAGGGCATATAGAAGAAGCAACAGACAAATGCATAAATAAATGGAACAACAAAATGAATGTTTCTCTCTCTCTCCCTCCCCCTCCCTTTCTCTCTAAAATCAAGTTTTTTGGGTTTTTTTTCATGTTAGGTTATCCTCAATTCATTCATTACAAATACATTTGCAATCGTCTCTCTCTTCAGCAATGGCGAGGTGGCTACCCTTTCCATGGGGAAGGGAAATCCATGGTTTGTTGCCTTTGCCAATAACAAAAATGTTGGAGAGCCAGGTGGCAAAGCTGTTGCCATTGGCATCTTTCATGTGAACCACATCAAAAGAACCAGGGTGTCTCTCTCTGTTGGTTATCACGCCAATTCTTCCCAGGTTAGCACCTCCAGTCACCATACTCAGGTTACCAGTATCAAACTGGATGAAGTCAGTAATTTTGCCAGTCTCCAAATCAATCTGAATGGTGTCACTGACCTTGATGAGGGAGTCAGGGTAGCGGATGGTGCGAGCATCATGGGTCACCAGGTGAGGGATTCCTAAAAATGTGGACCGCTTCACAAATTTGCTTGTCATCCTTGTGCAGGGGCCACACTAGTCTTCTCTGTATCTTTCCAATTTTAGTATAGGTGCTGCCGAAGCGAGCACTAAAATCAAGCATTTTTAAAGCATTTGAAAATGCTTATTTTGAAATTTTAAAAATAAAATTTCAAGCATTTTATTCATTTATCTTTAGAGGGGAAGGGAAGAGGGGAGAGAAATATCAATGTATGGTTACCTCTCCTGTGTCCCCCTGCTGGGAACTGGCCTGCAACCCAGGCATGTGCCCTGACTGGGAATCGAACAGCGATCCTCTGATTCGCAGGCCCTCGCTCAACCCACTGACCTACACCAGTCAGGGCTAAAAATCAAGTTTTTTTAAAAAAAAGAAAAGAAAAATGCCTAGAACTGAGTAAGCACTAGGTGGGTATTAAATATTAACAAAACCATGGTCCAGCCAATACCCAACCAGATTGAAGAGAGATCCAGGAGCTCTCAGGTGTCTCATGAACCACAATGAGGCACTTGTGCAGTCAGTGATAGAAATTATTTCAATTTTCCCATAGTTCTAACACTTTGACACAAAAAAACTTTTATTTTCCAATTCATTTTCCAGATATTTAAACCATTCATTCATTCATTACAGAAATGTTTATAGTAGTGAAAGAAGCCTGCTGTACACACATCTGTAGTTTTCATTATTAACAGCATAGATGTTTTCATGCTTATCATCCAGTACTTTCATAATCATTGTATTGATCATTGTCATGATTGCCTCCCCGCGCGTGGGAAGAATGTTGAGGACCGCCCGCCCAGAACCGCGCTGCCGGAACGCGCAAACCAAGGAACCCGTGGAGGGAGACCTGCGGATGCCGGAGGGAAGGCGCGGGGACTCCAGCAGCTGCCGGACCCGGAAGTAGGGGTTGCCTGTGGCCGCCCCGGGAACGCGAGCTGAAGCGGTGGCCGCTGTAGGGCTGAGGGTGAGACGAACCCAGCGGGTTCCGCGCCGCGCGGCTCAGGCATGTGGGAAGAGCGGGCCTTCCGTGGGCATGTTTCCCGAATGCTGGCGCCGAGGGGTCCCAGACCCGCTGCTAGGCATCGAGTCCCGGGCTGGGCTCTTTGAATTCTCTCCGTCTCGTCCCTAGAGGGGATGGACCCTCCACCCCGGGGCTTGTTGTGGGAAGTCGGGGAGGTGGTGATGGGCCAGCATTTCGCCAGGTGTCTGGAAAGAGCAGGAGCTGCAGTTAATACTCTTCTTCATCAAACCCTCCTGCAGTTCTTTAAGATGGGTGTGTTGTTCGAATGTTGTCACGGGTAGGGAACCAGAGGCTCAGGGAGGCCGTGCAGCGGTCGGGCCAGGGTGGGGCCAGGGCCCGCAGGGCTCCACTTCCAGGCTGGTGCCGCTTACAACCACCGGAGCCCCCACTCAGTTTTGAGGGCGTCCAGGCGTTCGCTGAGTTGTTGATGTAGAGGGTACTTCAACTTGAACAAACTGACTAGACTCCAGGGGCAGTTGTTTCTCACAGAGGCCTTGTCTTACCTTTTTATCACTCGGGATAAAAGGCCTTCGGGAACAGGACGTGGGAAGTTAGACCAATGTGGACTTGATGGCCAGTGAGCCCTGGGTTCCTAGACCCTTTGCAAAGGTCATCTGACACTGGTCTGAACCTCATTTTACTTATAGCTTAAAAAATGACAACGCTGGTCTTGTGGGGTTGTTGGCAAGATTAAATAAAGTGTTTATAGCAATAATGACCTAGTACAGAGGAGGAGCTTAAGAAATGGTTGCTTCTTTCCTTCTTTTCCTGACTGTATAGGTATTTGGTGAAGTTAGTAAGGTGGGAAATCCTGGGGCTCTAAATGCTGTTCAGACCACTGCTAGGCCTTCACTGCCCAGCTAAATCCGCTGGTTTGTGAGACACTGATGTGAAAAGCCTTTCCCTGCAAACAGTCCCTCCCGGAGGTCAGGTACCCTTGTGGTGCTGCCGGTGAAAGTTGACAGGGTAATAACAGGCTGGCTAACCTGCTACTCCCTTGCATCAGGCCTTCTCATTACAGTCCCAGTTGGGAGTGTTTGCTATGTCAGCACCCCCTTAGCACTTGCTAATCTCCCTTTGCGATGGGAGGACCAACTTCAGGCTCAGAGCTTTGGCAGGCACAAGAACAGGGCTTGATATACCATGTAGGTTACCGGAAAGAATGTAGTTCTGGACATTGATTCCAGCCTTTTAGTTCTGAGGCTATACAATTTTCCTTTTTATATAGATATTTAAACTTTTTTAAGAAAGCAAAACTTAAGTGAATAATAATGTTTTGCTGGCAGGGCATTAGGATGGTGTATGTAAATGAAATTTATAGAACATTGCTTTCAGCTTTCGTTTTTATTGGCTTCTGTTTTAAGATTGAAGATGTGCCTTAATGGAAAAGCAGAGAAGCCCTGAGATGAATCACAAAAAGTTAATCACAGTTATGACTGTGGACATTTTTTAAGAGATAGAAGGAACCTGATGCAATTTTTTTTTAAGATGGATTGAGCCCCAGTCTGTGAACCAAAAGGTTGCCAGTTCGATTCCCAGTCAGAACACTAGTCTGGGTTGTGAGCCAGGTCCGGTCCCCAGTTGCAGGCATGCTAGAGGAAACTCATTGATGTATCTCTTACATGTTGATGTTTCTCTCCCTCTTTCTCCCTTCCCACTCTCTAAAAATAAATAAACAAAATCTTTTTAAAAATATTCAGCTGGAAGTACGGAAGCATGAGTTTTACCCCAACTTAATCAACTTCCTTGGTTACCTTTGGATAATCCTTTCTGAGCCTTAGTTTGTTTTTCTTCCTTGAAATGTTTGTGCCGAATCATCACCAAGGCCCTTTTCTCAGGATTTCATGATTCTGTGTCCTTAAAAGAAGTGGTATTTTCCCCTAGTAAAACAGTGATACTCCGAGCATTGCAAAATACTTAGGCAGTATTGAGATGTAAACTGTTGAACTAGAACATGTGTTCCTTTAGAGCCAGAGCTGCTTGTGACTAGCATGAGTCACATGTGAATTAGCAGCTGCACAGCCTGACAGGTGAACAGGTGATCTGGAGTCAGGACCGATGCTGGTGTGCCTCTCTGTGACTGTCCAGTTGCGTCCCTGGTTCTGGATAAACGAACTCATCCCTTTGAAGATGCTAGAGCAAAAGAGAGGGATCTTTAGAGAAGAACCATAGTGATTTACCAAAAAGGTGTTAGGATTCTTATGTACGAGGAGGAATAGTGGAGGTGTAAGATTTCTAGAAACTTTACCATATGGGAAAAAAGAACATTCAGAAAGAGAAATGTTTGCAATTCTCTTACAGATTTAAAGTCACTCTTTACATTTTAGGCATCTAAAAGTATTTTTACTATTCACTTTGCAGGTAGAATTACTGATTACTCATATATTCAGTCAGTGTTTTGCTCGTCATTTACTAGCGACCATTAGAATGAACTAAACAAAACCCCTGTTCTGGAGCTTACTTAAATTCTAGGACATGTAAGACAAAAGTCAAATCAGTAGATGGAGACTGTTGGGTGTAGTGGTAAGTGCTAGAGGGAGGTGAAGCATGGCTGCCCCTCAATGCAGTTGCCCGCAGAGACACTGCAGGATGAAGGCTTCGTGTGTGGGTTCTAGAACACACAGGCCTGGATTCGTATCCAAGTTCTGCCACTCGACATCTGGTCTCCCTGACCCTTCAGTTCCCCCTGTGGGGCAGTACAGTGGCAGTGCCCACACCTGAGGACACTGGCAGGTGTGTGTTTTTTTGGGGGGGTGGTCAGAGCTACTGGATGTCTGGGGAAAGTGACCTGGGTGGAGGCCCGATGGCAGGAGCAGCTCTGGCACACAGGGAGGAAGGGTGGTGTTTGGGGGGACCGGATGGGGGCGGCACAGCTGGCAGTGGGTGATGCAGCTTCAGTGGTCCTCAGGTCAGTGAGCTCTGCAGTCTGTCCATGCTGCCCTTCCAGCAGTTTTCAACTTTTTTGTCTCTGGGATGGTGATATGTTTAAGGCAAGACGCCCAAGTATTTATTTTGAGGAAAAAAGCAAATTGTTTTATTTGGGGCAACTTTCTTACAAAGAATACTGATGTCACTGAGGTCGCCAGTGTCTTGCAGTAAGGGGCTGGGTTGGCAGCCCAGGGCTGACCGCGGGCTGCCTCCCACAGGTAGTGAAGGTGTTTTCCTCGGCGTCCTTTCTGAAGGCTGCCCTTCCTAGCCTTTCTTTCTCTGTCTGGTTTTATTTTGTCTTTAGTTTTAAATCCATTGTCTTAGTTCTTTTGACCAGTCACATGTGTCCACAGCACTCGGTGTAGAAGATGCAAGAGGCGGTGTGGTGAGCAGGAGCCCGCCTGCTCCCAGTCCCAACCTTCGGGCCCTAAGCCCGCTCCGCCCTGCCCCGCCCCAGGCGAATGCTCTGACCATCTGTTTCCTTCAACTAGTGTGTGCCTCCCAGATGGCAGCACTCTGTGCTCACTGTCATGCACCCAGTTTTCCTCTTGTCACTTTCATGGTGACCTGACCCATATTGGTATTTACCAAGCAGATGCATCCTTCCTGGCCACCCCATGTTGCTCCGCTACACGCCATACTTTTGTTTAACAATTCCCTGTTGGCCTCCACTAACTGTGTCTAATCTTCTATCACGAACGATAATGCTGCAGAGAATTCCCCAGCAGTGGTTTCTAACTCAGGTGCCACCATGTCCTGCCCCTGGGAGACTCAGTGTTCACGTGGACAGTCTCGTCAGTGCCTGTTGCATGCCAAAAGTTTGGATATCTTGACTCATCTTCCTTTCCCCCATCTCGGGCCTGTTCACTCTGCCTTCAGAATCTGCCCAGACTCCAAATTAACCTCGCTACCTCTACTGCTGCCACTCAAAACCCAGTCAGTTCTTTCTGGCGGGGCTGCCAGAAGGGTCCCTTTAAAACTTGAAGTCAGAACGTCTCCTCCTGTACTGCCTCCCAGCTCCCTGAAAGCAAACCCCTGAGAGCATGACTGATGCCTGCATTCTACACACCTGCTCCCTCTCAGCACCCCAGGCATCCTCGCTTTCCCTCAAGCCTGCCCTGGTCCTTCTACTTTCCCCCCAGATACCAAAGGCCTCACCCCTGCCCTGTGCCTCCTGCGCCCTGCACTGGTTTGTCCCACATGGCACATGGAGATCCTGCACAAAGGACGAACACAGTGCTGTGTTCCCTGCACCCAGGACTGGGCTGAGCATGTAGTACGTGCTCCATAAATACCTGTAGAATCATTGATTTTATTTCTGGAAGGGCAATTGCTGGGAATGTGCACTCAGTGTGAGAGCTATCGTAGAGGTTGCTCTGACCAAACTCCCACTGCCTACATTTGAGTTTGCCCAACCCCACACCCTCGCCCCTGTGTGTGGTCAGACCTGCAGTCTCTGCTGGAGAGATAAGCAGAAGCCCGCGCCGTCTCTGATTTGCTTTAACAAGCCTTGTTGGACATTATATTACAAAGGCTAATTTCCTTATTACATGAACAAGTCCTAAGAATAAAACAGTGATCTGGTTGACAAAAATCGATAAAAACTTTGGAAACCAGATGCTTGTGAACACGAAGGGGTGTGTTCCCGAACTTCGAAGTGCTTAAGGGTTCTTTTTTAAATACCAGAGTTCATGTTTTCTTCTAGTGTTTTTCTGGTTTCTTTTTTTTTTTTTTTTAACTTAAGTCTTTGCTAGATCTAGAATTTGATTTGGTGAAAATTATAAAGCAAGAGTCTAACTTTGTTTTTCTTCCCAGAAGGTTGCCCAGTTGTGTCAACGAAAACCTTTTCTAAAATATACATTATTTATCAATGTCAATGCCATATTTTTAATGACTAAAAAGGCAGGTTCATATGTTTCTTTTATTCAGCCAACAGGCATTAAATGTCCTGTATCAGGCCCCACACCAGCTGTTTCAGTTGCCAACAGTGAGTCAGACGGCGGGCCGCTCATGTGCCAGCAGGGGGAGATGCGGCAGTAACCCACTGTGGGGTGGTGTGCAGCGGGCTTTAAGGAGCGGGGGTCAGGAGGAAAGGATTCATCCAGCCAGTGGCAGTGGGGAGAGCTCTTTAAGGAAGAGTTACTGCTTGAACTGGGTCTTTGGACAGTTGAGCAGCATTCTCCAGGCTTGGAGAAACATTCCAAGCAAAAGGGACAGAAACCTGAAAGTGTTTTTTCTTTAGATAATGGTGTTCAGTTTAATTGGCCAGAGCATGGCCTGCCAAGCAAGAAGGCTAAGGGGCGGGCGGGAAGGGAGACTGGAACCTGCTGTGAAGGCCTGGTGGGCTCTGCTGGGAACCGGAGCGTCTGACTGTGGGTGAGAAGGCCCCGGGGAGCCCGACCTGGATGTTTGCCTTTTGAAAGTCTCCCAGGGCTCAGCCAAGGAGGAGGTGCCCTTCGGCCCCAAGGAAGACAAGGAACCGTAGCATGGGAGGAGGGCCAAGCATCTTCCTGGCCTGCATTGGGGAGAAAATTGACCTGAGGTCATAGAGTCACCTCAGCTTCTCCCAGACGAAGACAAATTCCCAATGTCATCTCTGAGCCACATCAGTTGTCCCGGGCAGTTGTCTGTCAGATGTGTTCAAGTTTCCTTAAATTTTTTTTTCTTGCCTGGGCTTTTCTTTTTTGTCTTTTTAAGTGAGTTTCCTTGTTAGCAAGTGGTACAGGTTCCATTGGAAGCATTGCTATTTTCTGTGTGTCTCATCCTCTCTTTAGGAGTCGGCGTTGGTAGTGGTGTGGGCTGCTGAAACACCACTTTCCAGGACTCCTTTTTTTGCCTTTTCCCTGAACCGGAGCCAGGTGTAAGATAAGATGAAGACCGTGCTCATGGTTGCAGAAAAGCCGTCCCTGGCCCAGTCCATCGCCAAAATCCTCTCTCGAGGTAGGGAAGACTGACCCTGGCTTCTCTCTGGCTTTGATCTGCAGCCACTGTCATTCCTGTTTTACACATGATTTCTTTCTTTTTCCAAAGTGTGACCTTGGCCCGCTGGAGTAGACATGGTTCAGGAGAGCAGGCGTTCATGAAGCTCCTTGGTGTTGGTCACTGTGGAGCGTGTTTATTGCCACAGCCAGCATGAGCCAGGGCGGGGCTCCCAGGAGGCACAGACACCGTTCACAGCATAGCAGCGGGTGCAGACAGGCCCCTGTCGGAGTGCTGGGCCGGTCAGGGTTGGTGGTCTCGCAGCAGCAGCCAGCCCTGGTGACTTACACAGAAAGGGCGTTTACTGGAGGGAGGGAGGCACAGCCAGGACCACACCCTGGCCTAAGTCTGAGGAGGCCGTGCTGCAGGCATCATCGCCCCAAGCACAAGATCCTGGCCCCTACCCTTGACCCTGACTGCTACAGCTTCTGCCCACAAGCCTCGTGTCACTCAAGAGCAGCCACTAAGCTAAACCTTGGCCATGGCCTTCCCAAGACACCAGAGCCCTGGGAAATGGAACGTCTGCCCACACCCCAACTCTGGCCACTGGGGTGTTTGGTGCCGCTTCCCTCCTTTCTCTGAATTCCCTCCAAGAAGGAAGGGTATTTGGATGATGGGGACCCAGAAATGGCAAACGTTTACCCTGACCTCCCCTTGGTCCTGAGGGTGAAGGAGGAGGAGACCCTGAGACACGTGGGCTAAGAAGCCGCGGTCTGATGGAGAGGGGAGACCCCGGAAGTAGTGCCTGGTCCCAGGAGCCGAGGACATTTGGCTGAGGGGCCATCCGTGCAGAGCGTGAGGTGACACTGCCGGATTCAGTAATTAGGGCGTTCTTGGGGACCTCTGAGTAAAGTTTGAGAGAAGGTAGGCAGAAACCAAATTCAAGAGTGAACACAGAAATGCAGAGAAAGAGCCCAAGAGCGTCTGCTCCTGAGAGTTCAGAGGGGGCGCCCCTGGCGGGGGTCTACGTGGTGAGCACACTGTGCTGGCTGGTTACCAGTGGTGTTTTCCCTGTGAACCATGAGACCTTTCAGCACCTAGTTCCCCACAGTGACCTGAGGGATGTTACCACTGACTGCTCTGGGGGAGGGGCACGCTGGCCTCCCACACAGAGGCAGCGCTGGGGCCCAGCACCCCTGAGGCGGCTGCAGCCCACGGGAGCAGCCACTGCCGTGCTTCTTCCTGCAGGAAACATGTCCTCACACAAAGGGCTGAATGGGACGTGCTCGGTGCACGAGTACACAGGGACCTTCGCAGGCCAGTCAGTCCGCTTCAAGATGACGTCTGTCTGCGGTCATGTGATGACCCTGGATTTCCTGGGTGAGCCCCCCATGCTCTGCCCACCCATCCCATTGAAGGAAGGCCTGCAAGGTGCTTCCCAGGGTCCAGTTGGAACCAGGGGAGGGCTCCAGGCAGAAGTGTCCAAACCCATGTGTCCTGACACCAGCAGGTTGGAGAAGTCACCCAGGGTCTCTAAATGAGGCATCCAGACCTCAGGCTTTGGAGGTCACCACCCCTGGGCCCCCCTCCCAGCCACACCCTTAGTCACTGCATGCCCGTGTACCTTGCTGTGCAGACTGGAGAGGGTGCCCACCAGGGGGGGGTGGGGGGCTGATCTGAAGAGGTGCTTGGGGGAAGGCTGCTGCTCCTGCTGATATCGCTGTTGTCTAGCAGTCACTTGGTGGCTGTCATCATCATCCTCATTTTGTTATCTTGGAATGACCAGCATTAGTGACGCACTGGGGCGACGTGCAGGGCAGCATAGTCAACAGGAATCTGGCCTGGGCTCCAAACCACACTCTGCTGGCTCACAGGCTGGGGCTGGGCCAGTGACTGGGCCTCCATGCCTTCCTGCTCCTCGTGTGTGGAGTGGGTCTTCCGACAGTGTCACTCACTTCCCAGGACTGTCTGCGACTCAGTGTGACAGTGATGGTGGACTGCTTACTCAGGGCCAGGCACACAGCAAAGCCCCAGGACTTCCTGCTGCTCAGTGGCAACAGTGACATCGATTCACTTGTGTGGCTGAGCATTCGGACCCTGAGTTTTAGCCTGCAGGTTGGGAGCTGGGATTTGAACTTGGCTGTATCTGACCCGAGTCTTTCAGGCTGCAGGAAATCGGGCCTAAAAGAAAGGCAGAGTGCTGAGCATGTGACCACCGAGTCCTAAGTAGTGAAGTAGGAGAGTGTTTCCAACATGGGGCTCATAAAGATTGATTCTTCTCAGATGTCAACTGAGCACCCATCATGTGCCCAGTCGGGTGCAGGGTCCGGGGAGAGGCTTACAGAATCCAGGCTGGGAGAGAAGACGAAGGCACATGCCCTGGCAAAGTGAGCCAGCCCAGAATGGTACTTCTAGCCACAGTGCTTGTCCTGGAAGCGAGGCTAGAGCAGCAGCCCTGCCCCCTGGTGGCTCCCATGGTGGCCGCATTGTGGTGTCAGCTCGCAGGCAGGAGCAGGAAGGCTGCTGAAGGGAGGCTCTGTCTCTGACTGTGAAGGTTGCCCTGGGCAAGCCGTTCTCCAGGCCTCTCTCTCCCTACTTGCAAGACAGGACCACCATATCATGGCCATAGAGGCCAAGCTCTGAAGTGCAATTCAGATGTCATTGTGCCTGGGGTTTACAGGCAAGTACAACAAATGGGACAAAGTGGACCCCGCAGAGCTGTTCAGTCAAGCCCCCACGGAGAAGAAGGAAGCCAACCCCAAGCTGAACATGGTGAAGTTCCTGCAGGTTCGTGGCGCAGGCGGGGGCAGAAGCAGGCAGGAAGGCCCTTCCCCTGGCTCCCTCCAGCCCAGCCCTTGGGCAGACCTCTCCGCCCTCTCTGTGAGCACCCCCAGCTGCCCCACAAGGCACCTCTCAGGCCTGCTCCGCCCTCCCCACTCCCCCACTACACTGCTAGCCCCCAGAATTCTTTTAAAGTAGTTTGGTGGTGGTGGTTCTTTCTATTTTAAAACAAATGCATGTACATTATGGAAAATTAGGATATGTAAATAAGTATAAAGAAGGAAGATTATTTATAATCACAGTACCCAAAACAACTACTATTATTAACATGTAGGGTTATTTTATTTCAGTCCTCCTTCTGTGCAATATTTGGGGTTAAGATCTTACTCATTTTTAATATTTTTTTGTCCACAGTAGTTCTGAACTAAATTCTTTTCTGAGCGGCTAAGCCAGTCTAACTAGATAGCTCCTCTGCCTATAGCCGGGGCCCCTGCTCTGGGCACCAGGCTTTCTAAACGGCGGCGGGTGTGAGGGGCCGGCCGCTCCGTGGGCGTGCTGTGGGCGGGCACTGAGGGGTGCCGGGCAGCGGCAGGTGTGACACCCTGTGCTTTGTGGCAGGTGGAGGGCAAAGGCTGCGACTACGTTGTGCTGTGGCTGGACTGTGACAAGGAAGGGGAGAACATCTGCTTCGAGGTAGGGGTGGACCCCACCGTGGTCCTCACTTTTGGCCTTTCCTGCCACCTGTCCCACACCACTCCTGAGCCCAGAGTAGGGAATCAACTACGTTGGATTAAAAATGCCTTTTATTCTCCTTTATTTTAGAAAATCTCTAGACACTTTAAGATGCATAGACTCTACTGGGCGATGGAGTGTTACTTCACCTGGGGGCACGTTGTACGGGCAACAGTAAAAGGGCAGGAACTGCTAGATGGATTCGAGTTTCAGAATGGGGCTTTGCCAAGGAGAGAGGTGGTTTTCAGCATTTCGGGTCACTCAGCACCACCTTAGATCATGCCGGTTGACACCCGGGAACCTTCCTCACTCCTGTCACTCCCCTCATTCTTCTCAGCACCGGCTTCACGTGCCCTCTCCCCACCCAGGATGCGCTCCCACACCTGCCTTGGCCTTGGTGCCCTCACACTGGTTGTGACTACCAGTGTCACCTGGTGCCCTTCAGGCTGTGACTCTGTACAGGTCGCCCTCCTTCCTCTGCACCCCTTGGTCCTCACCCTGAGGACCAGCACGCCTCAGGGCTCAGGAAATGCTTCCAGCGCAGCGGGGGAGCTCAGGGACCCAGCATGCCAGCACAGCACCCTCAGCAAACTGATTACACTCCATCCCTTCCAGACACCACTCCCCTGTTCCCACCTGCAGTGCTGCCCCTCTGCAGGGGGTCTCTGCAGCTGAGGGTAAAGAAGGGTGGCAGCTCACGGGGCTTTCTCCCTTCAGAATCGAAGCCACTTCTTCCCTGTAAAGAAGCTGCATGGCCAGGCTCCAGCATGACTCCCCTCCCACAGCACGGCCTTCTTAGTGAGTCTGGACTCCAGGACCCCTGTCTGGACTCCAGGACCCCTGCACGCCCCAGCGACCTGAGCCCCCCGCAGTGGGGGGTCATAGGGCCTTCCCCCTCCTTCCCGTTGCCTGCTCCTCTTCTCCTGTTCCTGGCTTTTCTCCAGTCTCTTAAAAGTTCTACCCACCCTTCCCAGCACCCCTCCTCCTGAAGAAGGGGAAATGGGTCACGTGGGATAGCCTTGGTGACTCTGAGTTCCCTTGTGTCCTTGGCAATAGCATTTCTTGGTTTGGTGACAATGGAAGGAAGTAAGAGAGGGTGGCCGTCTGTAGGGTGCTATAAGAAAGGGGTGTTTGAGTAAGTTTGTAGACAAAAGGAAGGGAAGCCATGTGGCAGGAGTATGTGGAGAGCCCGGGGCTTCTGGAAGAGGAGAGAGGCAGAGGAGGGTCTGGCAGTAGTAGAGAGGGGATCACACACACATCTGGGGAGACTCAGCCCCGGAGAGGAGTTGGGCCCACAGGTGGGGTGTAGAACGGGAGCTAGAGACCTCGGGAGTCGGAGGGCTCACTGCCAGCCACCTCCCTCAGGTCCTGGATGCCGTGCTGCCCGTCATGAATCCCGCCCATGGGGGTGACAAGACAGTGTTCCGGGCCAAATTCAGCTCCATCACGGACACGGACATCTGCAATGCCATGGCCCACCTGGGCGAGCCTGACCACAACGAGGCGCTCTCAGTGGATGCCCGGCAGGAGCTGGACCTGCGCATCGGCTGTGCCTTCACCAGGTGCTGGCCGCCCGCCCTTTGGCCAGAGTCCCTGCCCTTGCTGGTCCCCTTCCTCAGTCCCCAGCCTGATCAGCATCCTGCAGTTTTCAACATTTTAAAAACCCCGAAGAAAACTGTCTCAACAGACCAGTGCTTAAAAAGCAGTGCTTCTGTCCACACTGTATGCATCCCGAGGAGAGGGCAGAGGGTGGGGTGTAACAACAGAGGGGCTCCTGGCCCAGGATGGTCAGATGTCTGCCCTTTCCCACTTTTGCTGTTATGTGACACACGCACCTCCCTGGCCCCCGTGCTGGGCATGTCCTCTTGCCCTGCCTTCCAAGCAGGGAGCAGCCAGCCACCTTGGCCTCCTCACCGTGCCCACCAGCTGGGCCATCCCCCACTCCCACCGGTGGTTAATGGTGGTGTCTTGAGCAAACACATGACTGAAGCATCTTTCTGTCCCCCACCCCCACCCCTCCTTCTAGGTTTCAGACTAAGTACTTTCAGGGGAAATACGGCGATTTAGACAGCTCTCTCATCTCCTTCGGGCCATGTCAAACCCCTACCCTGGGGTTCTGCGTGGAGCGACACGACAGAATCCAGTCCTTCAAACCAGAGACCTACTGGGTGCTGCAGGCCAAGGTTCTGCTCCCTTCTGTGTTCCCGCTGGGTCTTTCCAGGTTTGGGTGTAGGTCCTGAGAGTTCCCACCACCACCACCACCACCACCATCATCACCATCATCATCATCATCATCATCATCATCATCATCACCACCCTCTAGGCCCCAGAGGCCCAGGGCACAGTTGTAGACAGAAGTACAAGAGGGAGGCCAGAGAAGGGGTCACAGGGTGCCTAGGGAAGGGACCCCAGCTTTCCTGGAGAGGCAGGCTAAGGCTCAGCAAGACACCTTGAATTTGGATGAATGGGAAGGAGCTTAGCTTTGGTGGTATGGGGTGAGGTCACCCCTTGAGGCCATCAGCTGCCACGGTCAGGTCCAAGGACTGCCTTTCAAATTTTTTAAGATTTTGGAACCCCTTCTCCAAATAAAAGCCTCCATGAAAGCTTCTCATAAAATTTAGAACATAATACAGAGCTGCGCTGGTTGACATGGGGTCAGGGACCCCAGGGTGAGGCCACACCCAGTGTTGGTCAGGTGTCAGGATGTGGACGGGGAGGGCACGAGAGATGGAGGCTCTGTCACTCTCTAAGGACACAACAGCCTCAGCTGTGGGCTCCCCTCCCGAGACCATCTGTCCAACGCCAGGGGGAGACCAGCTGTCAGAGCAGCCTTCGCCTCGGGAGGGGCTGCGTGGGCGCGGCTCTGAGACTTTAAAGCTGGGGCCATTTTGCTCCCAGGCAAGGACCAGCTTCATCTGCCCCAGTCCTCCCCTGGCAAGAGACTGACCTGGATACTGTCTTGCCTCCATGCTCCTTTCGTCCTTCTTCCTGCAGGTTAATGCTGATAAAGACAGATCTCTCCTTTTGGACTGGGACCGAGTGCGGGTGTTTGATCGGGAGATCGCGCAGATGTTTTTAAACATGACCAAGCTGGAGAAGGAAGCCCAGGTGGGCCTGCTGCACCCACATCTGTCAGCCCTGCCGGTGGGGGGAGTGGTAGGAGTGGGGTGCCTCTGGCTGGAGGAACAGCTTGTGACCTAGGGTCACATCTTTCTCCCCTTTCTGAAACACAAACATCTTTTGGAAAGAACAGTTACGCACACACACACTCCTACTGAAATAGCTCTTCCTGCCACGGTAACCGTAGCGTGCTGCATATCTTCTCCGCTCCGTGCACCATCCTACTGCTGTGACCTGCCAGGCCCCTTTCACACCTCCCTTCCCGTGTGACCCTGTGGGCATCGTCTCCTTTTGACAGGACTTCATTTCACACAAATGCCCCTTTTTTGTGACTTCCACAGCTGACAACTGCAGAGGGCTCTCTGTGCACAGCCACGAACCCGCCCAGGGTCACACAGCCACCATGGACGGGTCTGGGACCCCATCTCCTCAGCTTTCATGGCCTTCCTGGTGCTGTGTTTCTTACTCAGGGTTTTATGAGTTGGAAGGACGTGCTACCTGGCTGTTAGGAAGAAGGTGACACCGTCTGGCAAGGAGCTGGCTCTGGGAGGATCAGGGAATTGGGGCTTGGGGGGCAGGCCCTCAGCCATTGCAGCAAGTGTCATGCAGCAGTGACAGCTACCAAAGCCACTGAGGTGCCTTCGCTTGTCCTTCTTGAGCCTTCCTTGGGTGCCTTCTTACCCACCTATGCAGTTGACTTTGGCTTCCAGAACTTTCTAGAGCTGCTCCATGCTGTTATCCTTGATCACCTTCCTACAGAGATGCCATTGCTACTGTCTCTAGCCCTCACCCTGGCGATGCAGCCTTCTCGGCTGCATGTGCCCAGTTTGGCCTCATTGTTCAGCCCACAGTCATCTGTCTGGCATCGGAAGGCCCCACCCTGGTCAGGTCTACATGGAATTGGCAGGGACGAGCTGTCGGAGTTGAGTTGTTGGGGTTCTTTTTGCCGCAGGCACAACAGAGTCATCTGTTCTGACAGCTGTCTAATCTAGAGGTTGAAAGAGGTAGCTCACCAGTATTTTATTTAAACTGCATAGTATCATAAAAGTTTCAAAATAGTTACCAACATTTAAAAATAATGAGATTTCACATTGAAATCTCGATTTCCAGTTTCTCTCGACCAGACAGCAGATGCAGCAACAGCAGCAGGGTCTGGTGCTGGTGGGCGCTCAGGCTCCTGGAGGGCAGCCGTCCCCTGGAGACAGCCTGTGCCCGGGGGGGCCCCCCACCCACTGCCATCCCCAGGGCCTTGCTGACACTGGCTCCAGTCTGGTTTTGAACTTGCAACCCATTTTCTCTCTCTCTGTTTTTTTTAATACTGACTTTAAAGAAAGAGAAAAAAAATCACCTTGTCGTTCCACTTAGTTCTGCATTCATTGGTTCATTCTTATGTGTGCCCTGGTCCGGGATTAACCTACAACCTCGATGAGTCAGGACCGTGCTCTAACCAGCTGAGCAACCAGGCCAGGGCTGCAAGCCTTTCTGTTGACTCTTCCCCATTCCTCCAGTTTTTCTCTCTCCCTAGAAAATTCTTTAGGAAATTACCATCTTTTTTCCTTCTGGGACTGAATATTCATTCAAATCGTGAGAGCACCATGAGAAGTGACTTTGAGAAGCATAGAGACCAAGTCAGTGGAGCAGACCCTCTGCCCATCCATCCTAATTCTCTCCATTTTGCTGTCTCTCCCTTCCCCCCTCCCCCAAGTCACTGAATCTGTTCTGTCTTCTAGGTCGAAGCCACAAGCAAGAAAGAGAAGGCAAAGCAGAGGCCACTGGCCCTGAACACTGTGGAGATGCTGCGCGTGGCCAGCTCTTCCCTGGGTATGAGAGCATTTCTCTAAACACCCCAACAGACTTCTTGGAGCAGTCACACAGCACCCCTGTTCAACCCCCGTGTAGTCCCTGGGGCATAGGACACTGGTGGCCAATCTCTTCTAGCATTCTTCCTCTGTGCTCACCTGGGCCAGTCACCCATCTTCCATGCTCACCTGGGCCAGTTCACACCCCCTCCACATGCTCACCTGGGCCAGCACACACACCCTCCACGTGCTCACCTGGGCCAGCTCACACGCCCTCCACGTGCTCACCTGGGCCAGCACACGCCCTCTACGTGCTCACCTGGGCCAGCACACACGCCCTCCACGTGCTCACCTGGGCCAGCACACACGCCCTCCACGTGCTCACCTGGGCCAGCACACACGCCCTCCACGTGCTCATCTGGGCCAGTTCACATGCCCTCCACGTGCTCACCTGGGTCAGCACACACGCCCTCCACGTGCACACCTGTGCGCCCACACACACACGCCCTCCATGTGCTCACCTGGGCCAGCACACACGCCCTCCACGTGCTCACCTGGGCCAGCACACACGCCCTCCACGTGCTCACCTGGGCCAGCACACATGCCCTCCACGTGCTCACCTGGGTCAGCACACACGCCCTCCACGTGCACACCTGTGCCCGCACACACGCCCTCCACGTGCTCACCTGGGCCAGCACACACGCCCTCCATGTGCTCACCTGGTTCAGCACACACGCCCTCCACGTGCTCACCTGTGCGCCCACACACACACGCCCTCCACGTGCTCACCTGGGCCTGCACCCCCTCTCCATGCAGTGTCACCTGAGGCTTAGGGGGAGTCTGAGCCTCATGCAGATTTAATTTCTCTTAAATTCCAGAGTGGAAACAAATGAAAAACAGGAGAGCAGATTCCATTTCACAAAATTGATGGTTAATACTTCACAGCTTCCTTGAGTTTATGTAGGGAAAATGCAGACCGTATCATTTAAAAAATGTCTGAGGAGCCCGTGCCAGGATTGAACACATGGGAAGCCATCAGCAGGACCACCCACAAGGCAGGCTCTCACATGCCCCTCAAAGGCATTAAACTGTGGAGTTTCATCTCCAGATACAAACTGTGGGCCAAATCCCAGCTCAGTCACATCCTTCCTTGTCCCAGAGCCTCAGTTTTGTCATGAGAAAAGAGGGTGACCATAATTAGTACCATCCCTCTGGGCTGCAAGGGTTAAATGACTGGAGTAGCACATCCCAACAATAGCCCTGCTAATGATTGTCACTACCCAAGAGGGACATCCCCCATTATCCTCCCGGAGCAGCTTCCGGGCTGCAGGGGAGAGGTCAAGACCCATCTCTCCCACCTGGGACAGGTGAGCCATTGTCCCTGAGCCTTGTTTCTATAATAGTGAGAAGGGGGTTGGGCTGGACAGTTGACAGCCTCCAGGCATTGGTGGCCCCTCAGTGGCCTTGGGAAACCATGGTCAGTATCTGGAGCCTCATCCGGGGATCCTCAGAGGCAACAATGACATTGAGTGGCCAGTCTCTGGTGCGAGCCTCTGCTGGGCACAGAGAAGCAGGAACACAAGCCCGCTCTCAGTGGCCCTGGAATGCTGTGAGGACAGAAATACGCAGGAGGCTCTGAACGGAGGGCATGTGCTAATTCTGCTGCTATAGCAGATACCAGCAGGCCCTGAAACATGGTTATGGTTCCATGCCAGAGGGTGAGAGGTGAGAGGCGGTCTGAAGGTCATGTTCAGTCAGTACAGCTGCCAGCATCGTGTGGGTGACACTGAGCATCCCTGTCCTTGGTCCAGCCTCATAGGTTGAGGACCTCAGCCTTGGATAAGGCACAGGCACTCGGTCAGCAGCTCTGCTCTGGGCCTTGCCTGTTCAGATTCACTGTCACCCCCAGGAGGCCTTATTTGTTTTGGGGGGAGCCTGAGGGGCCCAGGCCCAGGCCCAGGCCCTGGGCAGGCACCTGGCCGACCCTGGCATTCTGGGCCGGCTGAGCCTCCTGTCTCACAGGCATGGGGCCACAGCACGCCATGCAGACCGCTGAGCGGCTCTACACCCAAGGCTACATCAGCTACCCACGAACCGAGACCACCCACTACCCCGAGAACTTTGACCTGAAGGGCCCTCTCCGGCAGCAGGCCAACCATCCCTACTGGGCCGACACGGTGAGCAGAGCCAGGCCCTGGCCCCCCGTACACACCTGTTACCAAGACCTTGGCACCCAGCTCAGGACTGGCCAAGTCCAGGCCTGGCAGCAGCTCCCCGTAGGTGGGAGGGCAACCACACCCATACTCACACTCGGCTTTGTCTTCTCTCTCTCAGGTGAAGCGGTTATTAGCAGAAGGTATCAACCGCCCACGGAAAGGTCACGATGCTGGTGACCATCCCCCCATCACCCCTATGAGGTCTGCCACAGAGGCTGAATTAGGTATCAGGTGACCCCCCCTGCCATTTTTACACTTGCACACTCATATTACACATACACACACATATATACTTGAAGCTTCTGGCAAGGGAAGGGCGAGAGGCCATAGTGACACAGGACCTCTGCGTGGTGTTAGGCCCCGTGGCCAATGTAGAGACTCCGTCCAGCCCCCATCTGCTCCTGGCTGTGGCAGAGTTGTGCTGCTCCTGGCTGAAAGTTGTGCTCCCTCACCATGGGACAGGACAAGAGTGAAATGCAGTGGCAGGTGTGCCTGAGTGCAGGGTACAGGCAGCTGCTCGAGGGGACCCTAGACCAGAAGAGACCAGGCAGGAGGTGGGAGGGTGAGGTGAGTGGCAGGTGGCTGTGGGCGGAACAGGATGAGACCGGGAGAGAGTGACAAGCTCCGTCACTGGGCTGAGGCAGTGCTGGTGGCCACGTGCCGGGAGCAGGCAGAGGAAGGGAGAGCCATGCGGGTGGAGGCAGGAGCTGCTTATGCACAGCCCCGGTGGGATGCAGGGGTGGCATCGCTAGAGAGGGTCAGACCCACCTGGAAGCAGGGCAGGAGAGGGGAGCCATGGCTGGGGAGGAACCACCAGGGCGCAGGAGGGACCTGCTCTCCTTGCCATGCGTTTCCTCCTCTGGAGTGCTCTGTGGCTCCGCTTCTTGAGCAGCAGCCAGCAGGTCCTCAGAGCCAGAGTCCTGGCTGCTGACCTGCATCTGTGTTCACTGCAGGGGGTGAGGCGTGGCGGCTCTATGAGTACATCACCAGGCACTTCATTGCCACGGTTAGTTACGACTGCAAGTACCTCCAGAACACCATTTCCTTCAGGATCGGGCCCGAGCACTTCACCTGCACAGTGAAGACTGTCATCTCACCAGGTAAAACTGCAGGGCCCAGCTTTGCTCCTCCCCTCCATTCCACAGACGGATGGCACGCTCTCCACCGGACTGGTGGGTAGAGGCCGAGGGTCTGAGGCAGCCCTGTCTCTCCAGGTTTTACAGAGATCATGCCCTGGCAGAGCGTGCCCCTGGAGGAGAGCCTGCCCCCCTGCCAGCGGGGCGACACCTTCCCTGTGGCCGAGGTGAAGTTGCTGGAGAAGCAGACAAGCCCACCCGACTACCTGACGGAGGCTGAGCTCATCACCCTCATGGAGAAGCATGGCATCGGTGGGTGTGCCCACCTGGGCCCTGGCCTGAGGGTCCCCTCCCAACCCCGGAGCCCAGGAGGCAGTGCTTCCAAAGTGGCCCAGTAACCCTTCCAGGCCCAGCACCTGGTGCCTGGGCCCCAGGGAGTGACCGGCTGAGCCAGGCAGGGTGGCAGCGGGTAGTACCTCACCAAGGCGTCCATGTCAGGACCAGGCCTTGCCTGTGAAGGCCGAGATGTGCCCTTATGCACACTGACACCCAGGATGCCAAATGACTGAGTTACAGGAAAAGCACAAAGGTCAGACCAGAGTCCTCCTCAGTCAACACAGCCAACACGAGTCTGTCCTGGAATCCAGTGACGAGGAAACCCAAATTCACAGGCACTGCTTCCTTGTGAGGGAGGCTTAGAGCTCACCAAGGGCCAGAAGCTCCTGCACAATAACCGGGTTTCCAACTGGAATTGGCAGCCCAGAGCCGTTTGCCGGCTCAGTATAGTTGCTAACGCTCGAACAACCTCACAGGTGAGGTGGTCTCACATAGTCCCCAGGCCTAGGAGCTGTGACCTGTGTCCTCACACACTTGAGGCCACCTCCCCAGGCAGTGTTCACACGGATGGGCACTGCCCAGTTGCTGATGTGCTATCCCATCCCAGGTGACCAGACCCTGCCCAGTCGACAGGCTTTGGAGGGTCCTGGGACAATCTAGGCCTTGGTACCTGGACCTGGCTCCATCACTGACAGACCTACAGGAGACTTCCAGGGAGCAGCTCACCAGAGTCCGGGGCACTGGCAGCAGCGCGGCCCTTGCAGGAGAGCTGGGCCTGCTTCTTCCCAGGGGCCTGGGGGCCTGTGTGGGTTGTGTCTTGACAGTCCTCAGCCTACTGGGAGGTGCGGGCGCTGCTTCCTCAGTATCCTCTGCCCCTTCCTGTTGACCAAATTGAGTTTGCAGAAGTGAAGAGGGCTCTTGTGATCTTCTGAACCAGACAGTGGTCGAGGCTGGTCCTGTCAACCAGGGCCCCCAGGGCTCTATAAAAGGGCCTGGTGAGAGCTGCCCCTCAAGCCATGGCAAGAATGTAGTGAGGAGCTGGGGAACCCACTGAGTCACACAGGGGTCCTGGCAGGCAGTCAGGCAGCAGCAGGCACAGCACCTCTCAGAGCACGCCACACAGGGCTCAGGTCCTGTCCCCCCCTCATCCTGTGAACACGGGCCTCAGCAGGCTACTCATTCTCCGAGCACCAGCCAGGAGGCTCAGGAAGCTCCTTGGCCAGAGGAGCAGTAATGGTAGCATGTGGCAGTGCCAGGTGACCTCGAAATCCTTTAGGGAGTTGTGTCCCATAACTTTGAGCCTGTCCTGGGGCCACAGCACCAGGAAGTGGGCAAAGCAGAGCAGGCTTTGAAGGGGACGATTCGGCAGTGAGTGTCTGAGCTCCACATTCAGGGGGCTGGGGCTCTGGCTCCAGAATAGGATTATTGCCACAGGACGGAGGTTGGAGAGGCCACAAGGAGGTCTTATTAGATTTGAAGAACAAGTCAGATGAGCTGTCCGCCCTTGGCAGAGATTCTTAACCTCTCTGAGCCTCTGTAGAGCGGGAATTAGTGCCCGGCACGGGGAGCACCATCCTGGGGTTTGTACATCACTTTGTGAACGGCATGTGGCACAGTGCCCAGCAAAATGCTGGCCCGAAGCAGCACAGGAGAGGCTAAGAGCCAGGGGCTCATGACTGGATTGGGTAAAAGGGAGTCCACAGCTGATGAGCGTCAGGCAGTCCAAGGGACACCAGGGCCTTGCTGTGCATTGCAGGGACAGACGCCAGCATCCCTGTGCACATCAACAACATCTGCCAGCGTAACTATGTGGTCGTGGAGAGTGGGCGTCGGCTCAAGCCCACCAACCTTGGCATTGTCCTGGTGCACGGCTACTATAAGATCGGTGAGTTCAGCCAGCCAATGCTCCCTGGGCTACAGCTCCGCCTTTGTCAGCGCAAAGCCTCCCCTAGCAGACCCTGTGGTGAGCCCCACCTCCTGCTGCAAGGGTTCTGCGCTGGCCACCCTAGGACTGGCCCCAGCAGAGCCTCAGAGTGGTGGATGATGAATGGACAGTACAAAGGATCCAAAAGGGGAGACAAGGGCCCTCCCTGCAGACCAGTTACTGGCTAGGCCTTGATCTGCACTGCAGGGCTTGTCTACTCTGTCCCCTCATGGCCCCGAGGAACATAGACATGGCCCAAGGACTGCCAGGAGCCCACCTGTGATGCAGTTCCAGAGGCAATTGTCCCTAGTGACTCCACCCAGGATTCTTCTGGGTGGGAGATCAGGAGAGGTCTGGGGCTGTGGGGTGCAGCCTGGTGCCTTCCAACTCCAGCTGGAGCAGCCAGGACCCCTTGGTGGGAACGTTCACAGTGGCGCGCCCCACCTGCAGATGCAGAGCTGGTGCTCCCCACCATCCGAAGTGCCGTGGAGAAGCAGCTGAACCTGATCGCCCAGGGCAAGGCTGACTACCGCCAGGTCCTCGGCCACACCCTGGACGTCTTCAAGAGGAAGTTTCACTACTTCGTTGACTCCATTGCAGGTGAGGTCTACCTCTTCCCTGCCCCTGTGTCAGAGCTGCCACCACTTGGGGTGCCCAGGGTCCCCAGATGAGACCGGGCCCTAGATCTGAGCTCCAGGCCTCGGCTAGATGATGGGTCATCATTGGGCCTATACCAGGACTGAAGAGCCAGTGTATTAATACCACACACACGGCACCTGGCTCATCTGACAGACTGGGCTGCAGCTCCACTCTTCCCATTACGGACTTGGGAACCGTCAGGGCAGGGGGTTACTCCCTCACAGATCCTGTCCCTCCTGTGGTGGCGTCCCCTCAGCCCACCTGTTTGCACCCGCTACGGAGGGGGCTGCTGCAGGCCGGGAGGGTGCAACTCTCCTGCACTGCTTGCTTTCAGGCATGGATGAGTTGATGGAAGTGTCCTTTTCACCTCTGGCAGCCACAGGCAAGCCCCTGTCCCGCTGCGGGAAGTGCCACCGGTTCATGAAGTACATCCAGGTAGGTGGTCAGTGAAGACCTGCCCCTGTGGCCTGTGGTGCCCTTGTGCACAGACTTGGGCATGTTTTGTCCCCTCTGTAGGCCTTCATCTTATCCTCTGTCATACAAGGAATTCTTTGTTCCAGTTGTCACTCAAGCGTGGCTAAGAGGCCTAAAGCAGCCTTGCCAACAAACACCCAGCGTCCCAATAACCCCCAGCACAAATAAGCTATTAGGTCACTTACACACATGTCCACTGCTTCTGGTCAGCACATTCCTTGCTGTCACGGGCATTAACATACGTGCTGGGATTTCAGAGCCACCTTTCTTCACGTGCGGAGCAAGTGTCCTGAGACTCAGGGCCTGGATCCTTGCCCGAGAGGTTCTTGTCTGGGAGCATATTACGTGTTATGTGTTGTACATCACATGATATGTATTACACATTGCATGTTATATATTCTGTGCATGTATTAAACTGAATGTACACATGACAGTATACACATGTATATTAGTACTATCTATTCCATATTATGTGTTACACAGGACTTCCTGTGTGCTGTGTGTCACACACTGCACTTTATGTGTTCTGTGTTATGGGGAGAACGAGGGTGGCAGGAAGGCCCTGTGGCCCCAGCAACCCTGTGCCCCTCCCCTGGCATTGCAGGCCAAGCCAAGTCGCCTGCACTGCTCCCACTGTGACGAGACCTACACCCTGCCCCAGAATGGCACCATCAAGCTCTACAAAGAGCTCCGGTGCCCGCTGGACGACTTCGAGCTGGTTCTGTGGTCATCAGGCTCTCGAGGCAAAAGTTACCCACTGTGCCCCTATTGCTACAACCACCCGCCCTTCCGGGACATGAAGAAAGGTGAGAACACCTCGCCACTGGGCTTCCGCTCTCCCTTCCAAGCTGGACTGCCCTTGTCCCCCCTGGGTTTCTATCAGCACCAGCCCCTTCCTGACGTCTCGCTGGTCTCTGTCAGTGTGCCTACCCTGGGCCTTCCCATGCTCCTGGTGCTAAGATAGGAGGTCCCCCATGTCCCTGGGCACTGCTGAGGTGTCAGCCCTACCCTCTGCCCCTCTGTGTTGTCTTAGTTACACAGCTGACTATAGTAAGCCCACTCAGGATCGGGTCCGTGGGCGCACTGTGCCCCTTCCTGGGCTATGGCGAGTGAGAGGATGAGCAGGTGGGAGCAGGCCTTCAGCCAGCACCCACCAGTGCTCTCCATCCTCACGCTTTTTCTGGCAAAAGGAGAGCGTGTATCACGGTGGGGCTGAGAGACTGAGCCTGGAGTCTGAAGGGGGTGCGGGACCCAGAGTGTTCACCCTCAGCTATGCTGTCTTCTTTACACCCTGCACAAGCCCCTGGGGTGGCATCGCCCCACACTGCAGACAAGAGCCAGACACAGCAAGAGTGAGGCTCCACTCCCAGGGGGCCTGGGAGTCCTCAGGGTCTCAATTTAGCCCTCCTGACTCAAGCCTCGCCTGTGGGGCAGGCACTGAGGCCCATTCCTGCCCTCCAGCAGCTTCCAGGGCTGCTGATAGCCCCATGTGGCCCATGCAAACGAGGTCCACACAGAGCTGCCTATGACAAGCTATGGAAGCAAAGTGAAGGGCAGATGGACTTGGCTGAAGGCCACCAGGAAGGCTTTGGGAAATGATGTGAGCCCAGGGAGCCGGGTGCTCAAAGGGTGAGGGGAGTTCAGACAAGCAGAGACTGGGAGCGAGCCCAGGCCAGTGTGATCAAAGCTGAAAGGAACACTTTCTGCTGGGACGAGGGACACTAGAAGCACTGAGGGAGGCCCAGGGGTTGGGGGGGGGGACTGAAACATGGGGCAGGTGGGGCAGGCGTGCCTCATGGCGGCCCTCTCTCTGCCAGGCATGGGCTGCAATGAGTGCACGCACCCCACCTGCCAGCACTCGCTGAGCATGCTGGGCATCGGCCAGTGCGTGGAGTGCGAGAGTGGTGTGCTGGTGCTGGACCCCACCTCGGGCCCCAAGTGGAAGGTGGCCTGCAACAAGTGCAACGTGGTGGCGCACTGCTTTGAGAACGCCCACCGCGTGCGGGTGTCCTCCGAGACCTGCAGCTCCTGCGAGGCCGCCCTGCTCGACGTGGACTTCAACAAGGCCAAGTCCCCTCTCCTGGGCGACGAGACGCAGCACGTGGGCTGTGTCTTCTGCGACCCTGTCTTCCAGGAGCTGGTGGAGCTGAGGCACGCGGCCTCCTGCCACCCCATGCACCGAGGTGGGCCGGGGAGGAGGCAGGGCCGAGGGCGGGGCCGGGGCCGGCGGCCCGCTGGGAAGCCCAGTGCCAGGCGACCAAAGGACAAGATGTCAGCCCTGGCTGCCTACTTCGTATGATGGCCTGTCATTCCTCACTCAGGCTCCAGACAGTTGTCCTTTGGGCCACAGATCATTAAAATGCATTTCGTCTTCTCCGAACCAAGCAGCTGGGGACCTTTCCCTGGGTTACTGTGTCCTCCCCACCTATTGCCTCTCCCATTCCTGCCCCCTTGCCTCTCCCTTCACTGCTCACACTACTTTTAGAAGCCCGCTCTCCCCACACCCCAGCGGCGCCTTCAGGGAGGATACCAAGTGTGGAAATGGTAGCTGCATGCACAGTAGGAGGTGTCCCTGATGCCTGTCAGGAGGGAGGGTGCCACCAGCCTGTCACCCCAGGCAGGTGTCGCAGGAGGGAGGCCCGGTGGAGGAGATGGGCTGGCAGAAGTGCTCTCTGGACCTGGCCCTCGATGCAGCCCCCCGTCCAGGCTCCGACCCCACACTCTGGTTCAGCGGCTCTGAGCAGGTCTGTGTGTGCTGCCTCAGGCGGCCCTGACCGTCTCTGAGGCCTGTTCCGGTTTCTGTTGTCAAACAAGCCCTGATTGTGTACCTCACATGGTAACTTACAGGGGACAGAGGTGCCATGGGGAGCCGTTCTCATGCCAGATGTTGAAAATCGCCTGTAAGTCTTAGTGCCCCGTGGTAGCTGGATGTAAGCGGTAGGCTGCCCACCTGCCATCCTGCCTGTACCCCCACCCCAGCCCGGAGGAGGAGCACTGCTATGGGCAGCCACAAGTCCTCTGAGCTTCAGAAACTCCACCCCCGACCATGTGGCAGCAGGAGCTTGGAAGTAGGGCTTTCCAGGCTGTTCAGTAGAGGGACACTTGTACCTGGAGCAGGTGAATGTTTCACACAGGCCCCTCTATCTTGGTGGTAGGTTCACAGTTCACACTAGGACATAAGAGGCCCTGAGAGGAGCCTTCGTAAATAAACCCGTGGCCTTACCTGGCATTCCACAAAAAGCTGGGCCCCCAGGCTCCCTCTCCCTGGAGGTTTCCAGAGGCCAACTCTGTTCCCTGGAACACTGTTCGGGAAGCTCCTCCGGATGCTCTCCAAAGGCTGCCTCTGTGAGCGGCCTCCCTGGGAAGCTGAGCTGCAGCATCCTGATCCTGGGGCACCGATAGGGCCCCAGGGGGTGGGGGGTCCCTGGCCCAGGGCTGCTCGGCCACCCACTGAGGCCCTGTCACACGGCAGATTGGCCTTCTCTCCTGACGTAGCTCCGCCTCCGCTGAGGCAGCCAGGGTGGAGGCCGGGTGCCGGCTGAGAGGGCAGATGGCTGCGCTAGGCCTCAAACCCAAACCACCCCTTCCTTACCAGGATTCTGCACTGAGGTTTCAGCCTGGGGGCCAGGGGTTCAGTGAGGGAGCTACTGCAAAATCAGTCCTACCAGGTACAGCGGCTGGGATCAAGGTGGGAGCCGTGAAGGTGGGGAGAAGCAGGATGATTTTATTGTGGAAAATTTCAAACATAAACAGAATAATAAACGGAGCCTCTGCATACCATTACCCAGCTTCAACAATTAACCTGTAGACGATCTTGTATTATTCAGATGTGAATCCTAAACACCCTACCATTTCACTGGATGTATTTTGGCCACAAAGCAGAGAGTTCTTGCTAATGGATAAAGTACAATGGGGTAGAAAGATCAGACTTAAGGACCACTTCAAGGCCTTTGGCCTTAACAATTGGGAGCGTGGAGTTGTCCTTAACTGAGAGAGGAAAGACTGGGGGAGGGCACAGTGTAGGCAAGAGGACTAGGAGCTGAGTTTGGAACTGAAGTGTGAGGTGTCTGTTACAGATACACGTGGAGCAGCGAGTTGGATGTATGAGGCTGGGTTTCAGGGAAGAAGGCTGGGCTTGAGGTACAAATCTAAGGATCACCAGCATAGAAATATTTAAAGTCACAAGGCTGGATGAGATGACTGAGGGAGTGAGAATAGAGCAGGAAGAGGAAGGGACCCAGGACTGAGCCCCGCAGCGTGTGACAGTGTGAGGACGTTGAGGAGATGCAAGAATCCAGCAAAGAAGAATGAGGAGGAGTAGTAGAAGAGGCGGAAGAAAAATCAAGAGTGGAGACATCGTCCTAAGAAGTGATCCACTGGGTCAAATTCAGGGTGAATCTGCTCTGACATTCCCCTGATGGGAGTGGCAAGTCGGGGGAGAGACCAGTGGTGAAGTTGGTGTTCTGGAAAGGTCGGTCTGGATGCTTCGGTGATGAGGATGGGTTGCAGGAGGCACGAGTAGGTGCAGGGAGGCGTGCCAGGACACTGCACATGGTCCGGGTGAGAGGCGATGCTGGCCTGGACTTGGCCGGAAGCAGTGAAGCAGCAGAGAGAAGAGGCTGGATTCTAGGCCTGTTTCGGAGGAAGGGTAGACATAGAACCTCGTGACTACAGGTAGGAGGTGAGGGACAGGGAGGAGACAGGGATGACTATCAGCTCTCTGGCGTGGGTCCTTGAGTAACTGGTGGAGGGCACCATTGACCAAGGGGGGAAGATTGAAGGAGAAATGGAATGGGGGGGAGATCAAGAAGTGTATCTTTGAATGATGACCCAGAGGTGCCCATGTGTGGTAAGGGAAGTGAGCGGCTCCACGTGAAGACAAACTCGGTTTTCCTCACCACATGGATGGATCATTGGTGCCTTAGGGAAGGATGATTGGTACCGAAATTAAATGAAGGGCAAAGAGAGTGAAACTCAGAGTGTCAGATGGGGGGGCCAAAGAGATGGGACAAAGCCAAAGAACTTACAAACCTTGTCCACACTGCCTAATGCTTCTGATAAGTTGAGAAGTGTAGATCTGAAAATACCCAAGAAGCCGCTGGGAACTACGCGGATGTGGTCTTACTGGAGAGATGGGAGCGGAAGCCAGATTAGGGTAGGTTGGGGAGTCGGTGGGGTGAGAGGAATGGAGACCAGGAATGCAGCTACGCTTGTATGAAGTTTGTCATGAAAGGAAGGAGAAAAACGGAGTGTGAGCAGAGGGGGTTGTAGGAAGGGGGAGTTTATTGTCTGAACGATCGTTTAGAGAAAAACCTGCAATATGACACACCTCTATTTAAACGTGCACACTGACTACCCCAAAATGTAAAGCATTGTATTTTTTTATTTCATAAATTTGAAAGGTCGCCATAGTGCCAGTGGTTGGTAATAGTGCCTGGTTGTTAAGTGGTCCCATATTGTAACAGTTTAAAGAGCCGTGGCAGTTTCGCAAACCTCAGTCCACAGCAGCATAAAGACCCAAATGTTTGCTGTATGTTTGTGATGACAAATAATGAACTTCAAGACATGAAAGTTACTCAGACAAGAAGCATTCAGGCCTTACATACTGTTTTTTTGGTTTAGCTTCCTGAATGAGAGTGAGCAGCTTTCAGTTATTTGATCACTGATCCAGTGGATGGCATTTGCAAGTTTGAAAAGGGAAGTGAGTTGGTAACATGTTGGTTTCATGGTTTGTCAACATGCCTCCCAGTTGAGCACGTTTCTGTAGGGAGGGAGCAGAGCCAGTGGACAGGGAGGGGGTGGGCTAGGTTAGGGAAGATACTGTGCATTTTCTCTCCTGCCATTATTATTCCATCTTGTCCAAGGGAAGTATTTTTCTCATTGATACAAAGTTTGGAAACTTGATAATCCGCCGTCCTCCGTGCTGGCTGTCAGCAATACAGAGCAGGGGCTGAGGACACAGACACAACCGATGGATGGACGCTGGGAGGCCTACACTGATGGGGAGTTCTCAAAGAGTCTGCATCCTCCAGCTCCCCTTGGGGGTCTCCACCCCAAGCTCCAGGCTGGACAGATCTCCACAGAGCTCTGAGCAGTCAGTGATAGGTCCAGCAGGGTCATGAGGCCAAGGCTATGGCCTGAGTCTCCCAGCGGGCCACACAGCTGAGGCCTTGAGCACAGCCCTCGTCCTGTGGGCTGTCTGATCAATAATTGTCCCTGCCTCTGGGGGCTGGGGATGGCAGAGCAGGCCTCCCTGCATGGTGTACGGAAAGAGGCTGAGCCATGGCGCCACTGTCTTGGGCAAACTTCTCTGAGTTTTAATTTCCTCATCCTTAGAATAGAAGGTAGAGGCTCCAAATCCCTTATCTACTGCTGTGTAACAAACAGCCTCGAAGTATTGGTGGTTTCACACAACACTGTTTATCTCACCTCTTTGGGGGCGGGCTTGCTTGTGCGTTTGCTCCGCATCTGTGGTCAGCTGGAAGGTCGTCTCCTGTCTGGATGATGCAGGATGCCCTCCCTCACTTGTCTGGGGGCTGGTGGCTGCTGGCTGGGGTGATGAGGTGCCACTGGGCCCTGAGACTGCCGTCATCCAGCAGGACAGCCAGGGCTCTCAACGTGGTGGCTGGGGTCCAAGTGTGGCGAGAGAGAACAGCCTCTAGCACTTTCCAGTCTTGTCTGTGTCATGTGGGCCAACCTCCCAATGGGCAGAGTCAGTCCCAAGATCAAGGCCGGAGTCAACGTTGGGGGTGGGGAAACACTGCAAAGCATAGCTAGATGGAGCAGAATAATTGGTAGGCATTTTTGGAGACATTGCAAAGAGCAATAAGAAGTGATTAAAGTGGTCATAAAAAATAATAGCAAACAGTTATTTACACAGAGTGGGGGCTGAAAAATATGTTAACGGAGCGATTCTCATATAGAGAGATGAGGTTCAGAGAAGTTCAATAGCTCCAACAGGGTCACACAGCCAAATGGGGGAAGAGTTCAAATTTGCACCCAGGGCCTTCTGATTCCGAAGCTCATGCTCACAGCTGTCATCCTCTGAGGGCTTGCGAGCACATGTTATATGGTTCTATTTTAATAGGGACGAATTGGAGCTTTAATCTAGGTTGGAAGCCCTGTCTCTCCCTTCTCACCTTTCCCCTGATTGTTCTCAGACAATGAGGCTCTGGCCACATTTTAGGGGGCCAGCTGTGGGCCCAGCTCCTCATCTGCATCACGGGGTCAGGGCAATGAAGCCGGGCACAAAGTAGAAGCCAGAGATCATTTGTTTAAAAAAATCACCCACTCATGTCAGCAGAGACCGAGTGGAGAGGCTCGACTTCCACTCTCACCAAGCTGTGGTGAGGTGCCTCAGCCCCTTTGCGCGGGCGGGGG